AAGATGGGGACCAAGTCCAGGAATATTCTGGGACTGGTTATGCACCAGCAAGGGAGGAAGGATACCCCTTTCCACAAATCTTGGTGTGATGCACGATGATGGGGATGCTAGTCATAGCAACAGGACAGATTCCCTGATTATTTGTTCCTCTGTTTTGTTTCTTTAATTAAACTCAAAGAGAGAGCATCCAAGCCAGCTGCACCCTCAGCCTGTGGTGGGATCATTTATCTCACCCCCCACAGGGCACCTGTGTGTCACTGGAAAGGCCAGGCTGAAGGGAGCTGCTGCAGGCTGTCAGCTGGCAGGCTCTGCCTCCTGCCCTGTGCCCAGCATCCACGAGCAAGGCCTGTGGGATGGCATGGGGAGATGAGCCTCCACTCCTGCTGTCAAGCTCTGCTCCCCACAGAGCCAGTGCAGGCAGCAGATGGGCTGGTCTCTCCCTGCCAGCGCAGGCAAGGGGGCTGGAAGGTAGGAGGTAGAACCAAATCCAGTCTCATTAAGGGTAATTACCATTCATCCCAGGAAGCAGTAGGAAAAAGAGCCCACGTTCTCCTCATCTATTAATAGCTGTCAGCAGCTGCATGGTTCCTGCTGCGACCCAGGGAGAGCAGAAAGCTTTGGGAAAGCAGCAGCACAGAGAGCATCCTGCTCCCCCATCCCTCAGCACTGGCTGTACAGGGGCAATATCCTCCTTCCAGGATGTAATTTGTTTTGCTTCTTCCCCCAGGACTCCAGGAGCTGCTGGCTGCTTGTAAGCAGTGTTTTCCAGCAAAAGCTGCAGGGAGCCAGCCAGAGGAGGGCCTGGAAATAGAGCTTTGGAGCCATTCCCTGCTCCTCAGCATCCTCAATTTTCTGAGTCGTGCCCAGTTTTGGCAACTTTCTGTGCTCCTCATTGAAAGGGTAGAAGCCATTAATGAAAGAGGACTGCACCAGTGCCAAGGACAAACCTCGCTGGCTCCTACCCTAATGAATCCCTTTGGTGTCAGGGAGACATCAAACACCAAGAGGCTCCTCTCCAGCCTGACCTTCAGCTGTGCCCATGGTTCTTCCCCACAGAGACATGAACCACATCTGACAGATGGAGGTTGCCTCGCTGCAGGCATCAGCTAGAGAGGCTGTCCCACATGGAGCACAGGACTCAAATGAAATGATATCCTGGACTGGTGTGGTGGCTTCCAGCCATCATGGTATGATGTGAGGACACTGCAGGCTGCAGGAGATGCACTAGCAGAACTGACCAGGAGGACACATGCACAGAGGGGGTTTTTTTCACTCCTTCTACCTCCAGCTGCCACTGCATACAAACAGCTTGCTACTTGCTATGGGCAGAAAGCTCACCAGATGTGTTCCTGAAGTCCCTGAAGAGACAGCTGGTGCTGGTGTAACTGGAGAGAAGGAGAGGGAGAGAAAGATTGAGAGGGAGAGGAGAAATGCTTGGCTGCAGGATGTGTTGGTGGCTGGGCAAAGCCAGGGAGGATAATGTTTCTAGTCCATCATGCTGGGACACTAAAAAAGGTTGTCACCCTACAGCCACAGCTTTGTTTCCAGAACAGCACCTGAATCTTCACATTAGCAGCAGATGATACCCTGTGGGATTTGCTCCTCCCACACAAGGCACTGCAGGACCTGGATCCTGTCCACTTTATTTGTTGTGATATGAGGTTTGACTGTTGTTACACTGTCCTCCAACTCCAAGCAAAGCTGGCAGAGCTGATTATGCACAACACCATCACAGGTGCTGTCTAGGGGAAATCTGAGACCCGGTAGCTGGAGGGATACAGAGGGCACCTGGAGTCTGCTGGTAGGACTTTAGTCACTAGGGCCAGGAAGCAGTACCTTCCCTCATCCTCATTCTCAACTGTCAACAGTGGGGAATGGAAATGGATGCAATGTTTTATCCTGCATCCCTACTCCACAGAATTTAAGGATCAACTGCCACTGCACACCCCACTGGGAACAGCACTAATGTCTACATTTCCCACTGGAAGTAAACGCTAAGGTACAGAAGGAGTTAACACCACTATTTTTGGACTACCACTACTTCTTTTCAGCATATGATTCAATATCTGATTGCACCTGTTTTGACAACTGACTGCAATATTGAGCACTGTTGTCTCTGGGAATCAATGACTGGGTAGACACAGCTGAACTCCATTGGACTGTGAAGTCTCCAAAACATGACATTTGCATTATATTAGCCATGAGGTGGGCTGAAAACTTCAGTGTTGATGGCTTGCTGAAGGCTCAGCTCAGAAATTGATCATTGTTATGCAGGCAACTCAGGGGTGCTATTTCTGTGGATCTGGTTTGGCTATCTCCTTTGCAATTTAGGAGTCTGACCAAAGGTATGCATGGAAATCAGTGCAAGAGAAAATATCCCTGGCTTTATGTTGCTCTCATTTCTGCTTTTCAAGGTCTCAAAAGCCCTGGAGATGTGTTCCCAGGAGTAACATGGTCAGTGTGAGGCCAGCATTTGTAAAGGGCTTTGCAAGCCTTCTGACTACCCCATGTACTGAACACCAGCTTGACTCACAGGCAGTGTCACTGTCTTCTGGGGAGCTGAGTGACAGAATCAGGCCACACCTAGAAAGCGAAGTACACTGCTGCCAAGGTCTAACTTTCCATCTTTGAAATTCACTAAGGAAGCCTCAGAGTCTTGATTCTTTTTTTTAATCTATGCCTCTTTGCATTTATTGTTTTGTTGCTGAGCCTTTAGGGTGACCTGGGATCATGCTTTTAACATCTTCTTCATGACCAGGAGGTAAATTTTATATGAAAGTCAGCACAGCTTCCTAAAACTGCCAGCTATTATGGGACTTGCAGGACTATCATGAGAGCTGGCACCAGTGTTATGTATGCTCCCACAGGGCACAGGCTGGCTGCAGTCCTCTTGTGCCCAGTACATCAGCACTCCAAAGGAGTGAAAGAAAAACCTGTCTCAGGCTGGAAATGCCCTGGCAAATACTGCAACGCTTAGATCTGAGAAATGGGAAAGAGGAGATGAATGTTTTCATCCCCTTGTTTACTCTTTATACTCCACAGCATGATGTGTGTCTTGATGAAGATTCTGGTCTTTCCCCACCTCTGTAGAGGATGTTTAACAGCAGAATGAAAAATGAACAGGTTGAGGAGAAGAGACGAATATGCAGCAGATGGACCAAGATCTTGCCATCAGTGGAGTTCTCAGATTTGCTTTCCTCCCCCTCAGACCTGCCTGTGATGTCATTCTGCTCCAAAATATGAGGCCTTGAAGCAAGCCCATTTTGGGCACAGGCAGCGTACCTTTAGCCATACAAACATGCAAGGAAATGGTATCTTGAGGATAGCAACATAATCACCCTTTGAATACTGACTGGTACAAAACCATTTGCATTGCACCCCTTGCCCCGTTCTTTCCATGATGTCACAGCAGCTGCTGCTGTTGCTGCAAGAGTGTCCGGGACTTCGGCAAATGTTCCCTCCCCACCCAGCACGCGTGGAGCATGGTGGTGAGCTCACACATCTCCTCCGTGTGTGCTGGAAGGGGGGGCTCCTCCTCACCACGGCACTAACTCTCAGCGGCTGCACGGGGCGGGGTGACGGGGGAGCGCCATCCCAAATCCCGTCCCTGTCGCTTCCTGCTGCTTCTCGCTGCCCCGCACGCCCTGGCAGCGGGCCGGCCCCGTGCGAGCGGCCGCGGGGTACCGCGCCTTGCAAGGGCTTGGCTCGGAGCCGCTCGCGAACCCTCAGCGCGACGGGCACCGGCTCCCCACGAGCCCCACGCGTGCCCGGCCGGGGGTCGCACCCGCGGGAGCCCCGCCCCAGCAACGGCCGCGTCCGTGGCGACAGCGGCGGTGGCGAGCGCAGGGGCCGGGCTGGTCCCGCTCCCGCTCCGTTCCCTGCTCCGGGACAGAGACGGCAGCGGAATCCCCCGAGCCCAGGCGTCGGGAGGGACCCCGCGCGTTTCTCGCCCCGGTGCCCCTCGGCGTGGCCGGGGCTGGGGACGCCCAGCGCCCGTGACCGGGCCCTTCCCGGCGGCTCGCAGGTCTGACCAGCGCCGAGGCGGCCGCGCCGATGCGTTCCCGTCCCTCTCGGGCTCTCCGAGAGGAGATGGGCTGGCAGGAGGGAGCGCAGGGCCGGCATCCCGGGAGCTGGGCTGGTGGCGCTGGCGGGGCCGCGGCGGTCAGCAGCACCCAGGCGTTCTCCGTGCCCCCCTGGGGAAGGAACCCCTTTCTGAGCCTCCGGGGTTGGCACGGCGGAGGGGCTGCGGTGGGCAGTGCTCAGCTCCAAAAGGGCTTTTGTTTTTCTGAGACTAGGGCAGCGGCCCTTCACAGGTCATGCTGACAGAGATGCAGGACCACCGTTTTGGCCCTTCACACCGCCAGGACTACAGTGGAGACATCAACCAAATTCCCAAATGGCCAGCTGGCCTCACTCTGCCCAGTCTCCCTTTACAGACAAATTTCATTATATCTGAAGCTAAATAGATTTCTCATTTGATACTTTTTTTTTTTTTTTTTAACTCACTTAAAGCCCATTGCAGGTTTAGGATTAGGATACTGTGTTGCAAGCCCAGGCTTAGCCTGCAACACAGTATCCTAATGCACATTTAGCATTAGCATTTGAAAGTGCCACCGAGCACGGCAAGTCCCCACAGGTGTTGGTGGGATCAGCGGTGTAAACCAGACTCAGGATGACTTGCCTGGACTATAGGTAATGGCATTAAGGTCAGCACACCTGCAGAACAACTGGCACTTTCAGGGTGCTGCTGCAGTGGCATAAGAGCTTCCTCAATTAGTGGGCAGACAGAACTTCAGTGCAAATGCAATCTTGGCTGGGGCATAACCACCCTCAGAAATAATTTATCCTGCTCTTACAAACTCTCCAGTAAGCACAGTGTTTACTGTTGTTCCATTTCTTGGATCTCTGTAATTCTGGTAGGAGCATCAGCCAAAGGTCACCAGTTGCTGTGCAGGTTTTTTGGTGTTTTTGTTGTGTTTGTTTGTTTGTTTGTTTGTTTGTTTGTTTGTTTTGGTCTCTCTGGGATTTGTTGTGAATGAAAAGAGCAAAAATCTTTTCTTTCCAGATCAAGGCAGGTTTAGCTGAATAATGTTTGTAAGGCATGTTAGTGGCAGCATAATTTGGTTGTGTGAGTAGATTTCTGTCAGTTCCTCCTGGGGAAGGGAAGTGTGATTTCCTTTACTTTTTTTAAGAAGTTCAAGCATTATTTACTTTTCAGTCTAATCTGGGTGTTAAATGACAAAAAGAGAGAATTTACTACATGTCTCTGTTCATTCTATATTGTCTAATAAAACCTTTTTAGGATAGGTGACTGATGTTTATGCAGAGTGGGTGGGAAGGAGTGTGCATTAACAGTGTTGACTTGGTTTATTGATAGTGAATTCCAGCGCTACCCCTGTGTTTAAATACATGCTTAGCAAACCCAGCTCTGGAAAGTGGCTTAGAGTCTCAGCTCTGGCTGGGTGAGACTCCCACAGCTGAGGCAGAGGGGGTGAGCAGTGAAGGAGGCCCTTCCCTGGTAGTAAGGGCACCTGACAGTTGTGCTCACCTCACTGGTGTGCTGGGAATGGATGTATTGGGAGCAGTGATTCAGGGTCAGACCTGGCACCACAGGCATGGGGTTCATTTGGATGCTTTGCAGCCTTGCTCCTGTTTGCTTCCCAGTGAATGATAAGAGGGCATGGTGGAGTCAGCTGAGCTGACTTGCTCTGGGGCTCAGATCAAGGGAAAGCATCTTAGCAGCCTGGGCAGCTCTGACTCTGGGCAACTGTGATTCTGGGCAGCTGTGTCTCCTGCCCAGACCCTTGGAGCCCATTTGACAGCCCTGCATGTGCTGTGGGTTACCCACCCTCTGAAAATCAACCTGCCATCGGTAAACAAGCAATCCCATCATCTGCTGGAACAGACAGGAAATAATACTAGGCCACCAATGCTGCATGGCTCTCCCCAACAGCTGGCTTTTAATGATTGTTTCCAAAAGGTCAGGAAAGCCATCAGAAGCTCCAATCAGCTGTGATTGGCCTGGGGAACAAAATGATACAGATGCTTTTTGAATAGGACAAAGGACTGAGCAAGGAGAAAACAATTTTCCCAGTCACTTCTATTAATGCCACCTCACTGCCTTCTAGCTGTATTTTGCCTTTCCATGGAAGTCCATTGAGCACCAGGAGTTGGGTCTCAGATGGGTTAGTGTTCTGTGGAGAATCAGGTCTCTTCTTTTCCCCTTGAAAGGTGGTCCATCATCATAGCACCTTCCTTAGGCACAAGGACCTTTGCAGGGAAAGGATTCCCAGCATTCTCACAGCTGCCTAACACTCATTCCTTCTCTTTCCACTTCCACCCTTCATCAGATCAGGCTCCCTTTTTTATCAGCCTTTACCTTTGTCATCTGTACACTACTGCCTCCCAAGAAATCAGCTTCCCTGTTCTTGGCACCCTTCATCCTCCTGCTTTGGGCCAGAGAATGCCCTGCCACTGCCATCCCCACCCTTTCCCGACTATCCCTCTCAGGCCTGCCTCAAGTGCATTTGAAAAAGCTTTTGCTGACATATTTGCAGCATTAATCATTTGCTGCTCTCTTCTAGACCTCAGCATTTCACAGATCTCCTCTCTTCCTTCTTTTGCAAGGCCCTTCCTTGTATGCCTTTTGGAGGGGGAAGGAGAAGAGGGAGTAAAGCTAGCAAAGTCAACTCCAAAGCTTTCAGGGAGAAGGAAGTGCTGGCAGAAGCAGCATGAGCTGGGAAGGCAGAGGTGAAAGGAGCAACCTTGTGCCAGGAAAGAAGGACTAAAATGGTTCATCTAGGGACCACTGTCTGGATCACCCCCCTCACAAAGGAGGAGCTGGTTGGGATCAAACCACCCTTCAGGTGGCCAAAGATACTGCATGGCAGTAATCCTTCCACAGGATCCTTTGACTGTATGGTGGTGCAAGGCGACCACAGCCCTGAGATATCCTCTTGGTCATGCAGGAAGGTGTTCTCACCTCTGACATTACCATCCACCTCTGCCTCATGCTTCTGTTAGGTGTCCTGCAGCCTGTAACCTCCCAGACCTGTGCTGCAGCCCTGTTAAGTCCAGTTAGCCCCAGTAAGGATCAGCATAGGTCTGTATGCCCTGGGGGATGCTCACCAGACCTAGATGCTCTGCTGGAACCCAGAACTCAAGGTGGAAAGGACGCCTTCCTGGTGTCTTTTCTGTCTCTTTCAGAGTGGCTGGTTTGAGAACTATTAGGACTTTCCGGCAATAACCATACGTGTGGGATTCTGAGAGTGTTGGCTTTGAGGCTGGAATAGGAAACAGCAAATGGAAAACTTCGGTCTGGGAATGCTCTGAAAGTTAATAGGGCCGGGCATCCTTCCTTCTGCTTCAAGCTGGTTCTTTTAGCTTATATCTGCTTAGGCTCAGTGTGGTCTGATCAGGTCTGACCCATCACATCAGTTAATGGATGTTTGGAAGGAGTTCAGACAGAGAATAATGGAGAAAAGCAGGAAAAGAACACACTTATAATGTATTCATCTGTAAAGCATCTGTCTTTAGAGAGTCATAAGAACAGGCGTACCGGCTCAAACCAGGCTGGCCCAAAAACCCATCTCTGACACTGCCTAGAAGCAGACGCCTGGAGAGGAGTAGAAAAACAATGCAAGTGTGTGTTCTTTCCTCCAGCACTCTCCCCACCTCCAGCTGTGTTCAGCTGCTCACACTGAGCCACATGACTTCTGTGTAGTTCATCATTCTCAAAGGGTTTCTCTTCCACGGACTTTTCTTAGAGTCTGCAGACTCCTAACATCCACAGCATCCTGTGGCAAGGAATTTCCCAGTTCAGCTGTAGCCTGTGTGAAGAACCCTTTGCTTTAGGCCTAGACCCTGCCAGCTTCCCCTATTACTTTTATTGAAAAAGACAGTAAACTATCAATTCCTGTCCATCCTCTTGAACAGCACTCTGAATTAACACCACATTATTATCTCCTTATTGCATGTGCTGCCTAGAGACCTCTTTGCACAGGGCAGGGTATAAAGATGAGGCTAAGTAATAGTTGTTTGGCTGCAGTGCTTCCAGTCCAAAGCAGAGGAGGCAGGCAAAGGGCAAGTGTGTTACAAGAGAGCAGTGTGAGCTGACTATTAATATTGCTAGCTGCTTTCTAAAGCTGCCTTTTTATTTTGCAGGTAACCACGTAGTGGTGATTGTCAAGGAAGTTTCCCCTTGCTTCTCCTGAAGGAGAAGTAGGTCCTGAGCAAGGATGCAGCAGCCAGAAGCTGGTGACGAGAGCAGAGCCATTCCCTCACTGTGTCCACCTCAGGCCAACCTCACTGATGGCTCATTCTACACACGCCGCTGCATCACTGAGGATCTCAGTTGGTCCCTGGTCACTGTCCCCCACCTCACTGAGCTCTGCCTCCAGCATATTGCTCACAATTTTGAAAGTAAGTGGGAGCGCATTTACTCTAGGACACATGGAGAGAGGGTCAGTCCCAGAGAGCAGAGGGTCAACAAGGCATGCAGATGCATCTGAAAGACAGTGTGGCACCCAGCCCTGCCAAAGGAACAGATGGGGAGAAATATCCCCTTGGGAAGCCAGTTAAACAAACTGTTTAGTTGCTAAGTATGTATTTGCATGTCGCTGTCGAGGCAGGACAGGAACGAGAAGACTCTGACCAGAAGGCTGCTGAGTGTAAAACTCCGGTTTATTCAAAATACCCTGCTCTTTTATACAGAGCTCCGTGAGGACCAAATCCATTGGTCCTGAAGTGAAAACAAGCCACACCACTGGTGCAAAGTGCTTGACGCACAGTGATAGAACTTAACTATAAACAATGTGAACAACAAGAGAGCTAAAGAATTATTTACATTCTTCTCCAGCTCTTTCCCAGGCTTCTGCCTGGCTAGAAACTCTCCGTTTCTCTCTTTGACTGAATCTGAGACCCACATTTGTACACTGCAGGAGTGGCTGTAGTCCTCTGGGCTGCACTCCAGGATGTGACTCTGTAGTGACCTTGTTCTACCACATCTTCCATCCACGCTCTTCTGGACTCGCTTCAGCCATGACTGGGCTGTGCAGTTGCTGTTTCCTGCTCTTGATTCATACAGACGTTAGGGTAGCGCTCGAGGATGGAGCCTTGTTGTACTGGATGCTGTACAAAGAGATGCAGAATTGCTCCCTGCCCAGAGGAGCTATAATCTCTGTATTGTACTCATTGGCTCAGCCCTCCTCCATGGCTTTTGGTGGTGATGTGACAAGTTATATCCTCAGGCAGGGAATGTGCTTTTGAAGCAGGTGGACTGATGAAACACAGTAAAACAGAAGAAGCATGTCTCATCTGAAAACTTACTGGGAAGGGGAAAAGAAGAGCCTGTCTTTTTGGCTGACTCAGTGAAGTGGCAGCAAAGACCAAAGATAGTTTTAAGGCTATGTCCACACTGGGACTGTAAGACAGTACAGAGAAGCTCAGTGCTGCCTTATGCCAGGAGCTGAAGGTACTTGAGGCTATGAGCTGGGACAACCTTGTAGTCCCAGCAGCCCGATCAGTTTGATGCCAAATGCATTGGACTTGCACTGTGCACACATAAAAGCAGTTTGCTCGTTTTCATGGGAACCTTCATGATGTTACCTGAGCTGTGAGGCTGCACCTTGCCCACTGTGGGGCCTGAGTGAACCTGAGTGAAGCTAGCCCAGCCCTGCCCATATGTGTCCCACCTCTGCTTGTCTCATGGGGCTTTGCAGAGAAGGTCACCACAGTCTCAGCTGTGGGACACTGGAAAATAGACTCCAGGAAGAGGCTGTGGTAAAACTATCAGTGCCCTTAGGAAAGGAATGACCCAGAAATAGGGTTAATAACAAAGTTAATCCCACTTTGTGTTTCATAATCTCATTTCCTATGCACAGATAAGTTTCTTCACTGATGATTTATCTTACTCAACACAACTGTGTACACATAACCAAATATTCATGGTGTGAATACATGTGGCTTTTCTCTGGTATTTCTGGGCACAAAGAACTTCCATCAGAGAAGAGAGCTGAGACTTAGGACAAGCACTGGGAAAGAGACTCAGGGGAAAGAGTACCTGGAAAACAGAATTTTTATTTAAACAAGATGGACCTAAAAGCTAGTAGTGTGCCTTAGCAAAAAGGAACAGGAATTAACTTGAGGTCAGACTGATGCTTGAATTAAGATAAATAGGCACAAGGACCTGCATGAAAAGCACACAGTTGTTCTCAAATACTGTTCTTCAATATGCTTAGAAACCAAAAGGGAGAAAGTTCAGCAAATGGCAGGCCAAACTCTCCCATCACTGTAAGGTTGAATTAGTTATCTCGGGAGCAGAATTCCTGCCCTGAATATAAACTGCATTCAGACTAAGTTTAAATGGGGAGCTCAGTTTCTGGCACAGTTCCCAAATACTATGAGAGCAAACACAATTACACCGATGTTTCATTGTAAAAGTTAGAAATCATATGGAAATGTGCAAATGTGTTCTGCCAACTTATCTCTGTGCTCCAGCTTCTGGCAACCAAGGAGAGAGCCAATATCAGCAAAGGGGAGGGCATGGGCACACAGCTAGGGACCCGGGCAGAACCATAGTGCCAGCAATTGTTCCTATGCCCAGACCAACTTCTCATTCTTTTTATCTCTTCCAGAGAACCCTATTTTGAACTATCTTCTGCCTGAGCACCAAAAGAAGGTGGTGGACAGGCTCTCCACCAGCCTTCCACTCACCGTGACTGCCAACATTGTAAGCCATGAGGAGTACTGGAAGAGGTGCTGTATGGAGCGCTGGCAAGTGTGTGACGTCTCCAACTATGGAGACAGCTGGAAACGGATGTTCTTTGAACGTCACCTGGAGAACATTCTGAAGTTTTATATCCCTAACATCACAGACCCCAAGCAGGTGCTAGAGCTCATCCCGCTCTGCAAAAGCTACGTGCGGAAACTGGAGATCAATCAGTTCCTGCCACCTTTGTGGGTGGGTCAAAAGGAGGAGGGCAATGACCTCTCTGACACAGAGGATGATGCTGAAATTGGTGAGGTCTACACGCATCATTACAACCTGAAAGATGTCATTACTGCCCTCCCTCACCTTGAAGAACTTCATCTCATTTATGGTGTGAAGAGCTGTGGCATGAACTTTGAGTGGAGCCTCTTTAACTTCACTGAGCTGGACTGCTCCAACTTGGCTGCTGCTGTGAAGATGTGCCGTAACTTGAAAGTAATATACCGCAAACTGAACCTTACTGCCTCAGCTAGATCCAAATTGCACATGGATAGAAGTACAGGGACCAGTTTTGCTTGCTGGTACCACCCTTCCTTTTGCAAGTTACAGAATCTGACAGAGTGCAGAGATGTTAACCTGCTGGCTTAGTGCTGAGTATCTTGTTCTGCTGTGTCCTTGTTAGAATGGGTTGTCAGGGGATCAATGAGAAAAATATTTGCTCCCACAAACTTGTTGCCTGTAGTGTAAGAAGCAGCAGCACTCCACTGTTTTAACTCCTCATATAGTTCTGGGAGGGAGGAGAAGAAAAGCCCATGGGGAATTTTTCATAAAGAGTTTTTGGTAGTTTTGCTCAGTAAATGCATGTCAGCCTCTCCCAGAGGAGCAAAGACCCCAGAGAACAGAGTGGGGAAACACTCACACTTGCTTTAGAGCAATGAGGGATTTTCCTCCTAAGAACTAACAGTATCTTTAGCTCTGTGGCAATGGCAGTGCAAATACTCGGCCCCTCCAAGACATCAGCGGGCATTGCTATCCTGAGTGGAGCCAGAGTGAGTTGGATGAATTCCACACAGACTGGCATGCTTTGGGAAATATGGCTTCTGGAAGAGAAATTACCTTTCTTGTGGCTATTAAGTATCCCAGGCACACAGGACATTGTACTGTAGTTATCACTGGTGCACATGGTCATTCAGACAGGTTCAACTGTGATCTGGGCTGGGTTCTGCTGCTAGATGTTTCTTGCTGCAGACATTTGGACAGCTTTATCTTGCTTTACTTTAGCCCCCAGTTAGAGATCTTGTGCAGTCAGAGGAGAGGAACAGGCATTTCCAGGAGGCAAACCCTTTTTCTGTAGAATAGGCATGGGACATCAGTGGTATGGCCTACTTGCTGTAAGTATCAGCCCACTAGGAAAGCAAATACTTGAGCCTGCTAGCTAAAGGTGTCTGAAGTAAAGGGAGATGCATCCTGTCTGGTGGACCATAGGTTTAACTCCGTAATGTTCTTGTACAAATCTCAGTCCAAAGCCTTGGCTGCTGTAGTGACCCTGGTTTTTATGCCCACAGGTTTTCAAGCTGACACAAAGCAAAGTGGATGATGACAAGATCAAGCTCCTGGCCCGTAACTTGCAGCATCACCCTTGCTTGTTGGAGCTGGACTTGTCCCACAATCTCATCAGGGACCACGGGGCACAAGCTCTTGGCAAGCTGATCAGCCACAGCAGATTAGAAACCCTTAATCTGTGTAACAACCAGATCTGTCACCTGGGGGCTCAGGCTCTTGCTCAAGGCCTGGCTGAGAGCTCCACTCTGACCTCCCTGAATCTGCGCCTCAACTTTGTGGAGGACAAAGGTGGGGAGGCCATTGGCCATGCCCTGCTGACCAACGCCAGCCTGAAGTCCCTCCACCTGGGAAGCAATAACCTGTCAGAGCCAACGGCAGCAGTGTTCTCCCAGGTCCTGGCTCAGAACACCACTCTGACGAGCATCAGCTTCTCATGCAACCACCTGGGACTGGTAAGAGAAGCCTCTTCTGCCTGCAGTCTGTGACCCTGTGTGGTGGGCTTGCAAAGCAGATCCTGAGCCTATCTCAAAGCCCCAGAGGCAAACACATCCCTCATTTTGCATTCTTGCTATGATAACAATCAGTTGTGAGCAAGGAAGAGACTGTAGCAGATGTCAGGAAAGAAAAGGACACTTTCTCTGCATGAACATGCATTTACCTCACTTGTTACATCTAGCTCTGTTGCTCTGTTCATAGGGCTGAATCGATCTTTGAGGCTTTGGGCTTTTGGGCAGAGAGGGATTTCCCCCCCAGGAAACTGAAAACCAGGAAGCATGTCTGGGGAAAATCACAGACGCTTCGCACACGAGCGTAGTTAATGATAGGCAGCACGAGATGAGGGTCTCATGCATATCCTTCGTGCTTTGGGTCTGCTGTGCCATCTGTCACTCAGCAGCACACAGATAGTGTCACCCTTCCCAGAATTGCTCCTGTACATCACAGGCTCAGAGGAGACTGTTAGAAAACTGGCTTGGTTGTTGAGCTTCTTTAACTCACGCTGCGGCCCGGGAGCAGTGCGGTGGGTCAGGAGTGTCATGTCTGTGTGCTTGTAAGTGCCTCCTAAAACACAGGCTTACATTTTCTAGACAGAAGAGCATCCACAGATCTTACTACATCCTTAAGAGCTGCAGTATGCAACATGCCCACAAACCAGACTGCTTCTCTTTTGCTGATTAAAAAGAGCTTTAGAAATCTGAAACTAGACAGCCAAAAGCAATCATGCTGGCTTTTAAACTTCCTGTGCTGCCTCGATTATTCTCACTGTCAAATAAAGAGACAGCAAGACCAGCTGTCCCTGCTGGCAGGAATATTGGCATTAATGTGTTTGACAAGGGTTTTAAAAGGATTTGATGGCAGAAAACCTTTTGTGAGTTCTGAGCTTTATGGTCCTGGATGTGGAAAACCATCTGAGTTTAATGATACAAGGGGGCAAAGGTTGGATAGAAGGATTTTTGTTTAGTAAATAATAATCTCTGTGCTTGTATCTTCCTTCTGATGAGCTTTCCTGTTACCCATATGTGAAGTTCCACAGCAGCTCAAAAGGTGGCTGGTAGTATTATCTTTGGGAAAATTGGGGGTTTTGCTAGAGATACATTCAATTCTGACCTCTGCAGCCCATTAAAAAGAGACCTCTTCTCAGTCCCTTTTGCTCTGTTCTTTTTGGCAAAAGGGCTAAGAGGCAGGGTGTTGGGATCAGGGGTCCATCTGGATGGAGGAGAAGGGACAGGAGGTGTATTTGATACTTGGAAGGGAATAGCAAAGCGGAAAAAGGTTCAAATTGTCACATCCCAAAATACAGCGCTTCATGAGGGGGAAATGCCTCAGAGTGGGTTGCCTTCCTAAGGCTACATCACATTTTCAGTCTCATGAAGGCTGGTCTTCAGTTACATGAGATATTTCTCTCAGGATAGCTAAACCAGCCTGGGAAATTACATCCCGACAGGAAACTGCCAGTTCTGGGGCTCTTACAACTGCCAAGATGAGGAACAGCACTCTAATCCATTTGTCCCCAACCAGCAGTAAACTGGGACAGGGGGACAGGGAGGAGGAGACTTCTCTCAGGTTACAATTGCCAGCTGTGTAATTAACCAGCATGAGTTTGAGAACTCCCAATGTGGTACCCAGAGGGAGTCATTAGCATGTGTCTTGTCACAGAGAGCTGCATAAGGTTACACTCTTCTTCTGCACTTCTGGGAGCAGCATTTCCAACCTGGGTGGAGGCCTTTATCCCTTTTGGCACCATCTCATGGACCTCCCACTGGCAGCAGCAGAAGTTGCCCTGGGGAGGAGGGGAAAGGAGCAATACACTTCTGTTTTGGATGTTCTTTAACCATCCCCTCTCATCCTTTTGCAGGAGGGTGGGAAGCAGCTGCTTAAAGGGCTGGCAAACAACAAGACTTTGACCAAGCTTGATCTCCGCCATGCAGAGGTGGACCAGGAGACCGATTTCCTCATTCACGAAATCGTGTGGGCCAATCAGGAAGTGGTGAGGCTGAGATCTCTGCAGCACCCCACCACTGAACCCCTCTGAATAAAGTGCTCCAGGGAGAGCTTTGGGTGTGCAGTCTTGGAAACACTTTACTTCAGGGTCTTGGTTTTATTTGCTTTTCTGAAAAACACTTCACTTGTGGCTGCCACTGCAGCCTTTCCCAGACCCCTATCATCCAACCTGTGACTTCATTGGAGATAGACATTTGATCTCAAGGCATGGTAGTGGCACCACAGAGCAATCTGCCTTTTAAGTCCTCTCTCTCACTGCACCTGAAATCTTACCTCCTGTGATGCTTTTATATGCTCCAGCAGCAAGCTTAGTTTAGGCAATTAATATTGTTTCACTTGTAAAGCAGCTAAGATGAAGTCTCTGCCATCTAAACGGTCTAGTCCAGACCTAACTTTAAGTTTTTGCTGAGGAGGATGTGAGAGGCCTAGAGGATTGAGGAAATGTTGTTTCTAGTTCCTCAGCAGCTTTTTCTGGCTATTGCTCTGCTCAATAATCTATTTGAATTTATAGTAAATCTGTCTGGAGTCTGATATGGGTGGTGCAAAGTAAATAGAAATAAATTCAATAACTCAAGAGGTCTCACCACCGTGGTTTTCTGCTTTGGGTTGCTCTGCTTTAAGTCAGTGCTAGCCTACTTTGCAACAGGTGAATTCTTTACAACCAGATGCTTAACCTACCTAGTAGTGCTCTTCTGTGCAAAAAACCTGTCTAAAACAATCTGTTTTGCATAACTTCAAGCTAGAGGAGTCCCTTCATGACTGCTGGCCCACATAGCTCACAAGTTTGAAAACAGTGCAGCTTCCTGGGGCTTGGAGCAAAATGGAGCAGCTTCCTTTCGCTCTAGTCTGTAGTCACCTGAGGATGGGACAAGGCACATACTTGAGTGAGTTGGTCCATTGACCACTCTGCTCAGGAGATATCAGGGAATTAAGCAAGTGGGTTGTCTTCCATCCCCTCCCACCCTCTGAACAACGCAGGAGCTTCCCATGCCTCCCAGCCCTGCCCAACACCAGTGCTCACAGACCCACTGCTGGCAACCACCTCAGTGAATCATCTGAAACTTTTATTACACCGATTTGGTTTACAATCTTTGTACTTTGATATTTCCAACAAAAAAGGCAACATTGTGATATACTGTTTGTACACATATAGAGAGACAGACAGAGCTAGATCATATTGACAGAGTTGGAAAATAAAAACAGTTTTCCAGTGTTCACAAAGTAATTTATTCACCATGTACCCGCTTCTGCCTTGCCCTGTCTGATGGATACAGACACCGACGGTGCCGCTGGCTCCTGGCCAACAGGACCTTTACCTGCACCGTGTCATGCCCATATAGATCAGAAAGGATGGAGTGCGAGGCTGCCCCAACAGCAGGGGTGCTGACAGGGCTCAGACCCAAGCCCTCACAGGTTTGTGTAACTCCCTTCCCAACTATTGATGGATGCTCCAGGGGCTACGTCCAGAAGAATTCCTAACCAGCAGTAGCAGCTGTGAAACCTTCCTATCTGGGCGACTCCCACTCCTTGTTTCCCATCCTCGAGACCGAGGTATTGAATATACTTAATTATTTTTATTTGCATTTACAAAATATTTTCACTGGATGACACACCTCAATGAGATGAGAACTCATGTTCAGAAACAGCAGAAAAGACCCAGATCAGCATCAGGCTGATGAAGCAACAGCTCCAGCAGCAAGGGTGGGGGTTTAATGGGGGTGGCCCGGTCCTAGGCAAGCCTGCCTGTAGCTCCAAGGACAGGGCTGCAGCTGGTCAGCCAGTTGTGCAGTGGAAGCTCATGCTTGGTGGGCAGCGATGAGATCCTGCAGACATGCTAGCAGACACATGAGGAGGAATTAGTCACCAGAGCCAGTGAGGACAAGAGATGGAAAGAAAAGGGCTTGGGAAAATATGCCATGACCAGAACAACTTCTCACTTGCTTTCCAGGATATTCACTGCTTATTTTCCTGCTAACAGCTTGAGACTGTTAACAGCACTTAATCACCCTTCAAACCCACTCCTGGGCTGCCAGGTGCAGGAATGCCCGGACAGGTAGCGCTTGCCTGGAGAACTCTTTGCCCTCTCTCCCATCAATCTCTTGGCCAAAAAGCAAAGTCCAAACCAAGCAGCCTGCAGCACTTGCCCACACCCAAGACCAACAGTCAACTATGTGACAGTCTGCAAAGGCTGAAACCATTTCAGCCAGACAGCAAAAGCAGATTGTTGGAGTGTGAACATTCCTGCTGTTTGTGGGTCACTTGTCAGTTCCAGGTCCAGCTACCACAGGGCAGGTAACTAGCTGGTCACTCCGTGCTGAGTGCAGGGCCAGAACAAATACCTTAACTTTCCCATGAGATCTATCTCCAAGGAGTACTGGCAGGTTCTAAGGAGGGGGGGACTCACTTGTGGGCCTCCATCTGGAGGAGGGAACAAGCTTGGGCACTGCCACCACAGCATCAGCAGCACTTAGCAGAGTCAAGCTGGGAGCATCCCCCCACCCATGGCTCTGTGCCAGAGAGATGGTGAGACAGGAGTGGTCAGACGGTAAAGAAGGGGGAATGACACAAGGGCTCGCCCTCAGGCTGTCCCATCAGGCCGGAGCAGGGGCACCCAGCTGGCTCTCTCCCACAGCAGATGGCGAGCCCGGCTTCCACTGCTCTGAGCAGAGCACACACGGCAGCAGGAAACAGTGGCCAGCTTCCCAAGCCTGGCGGTTTCTGCTCACAGAGACCCAGGCATTGATTTGCAAGGTGTCACACTGGCATATGTCACAAACAGGATGGCAGGTTGATTTTGAGCACCGACTGGGGGAGGAGGAGCAGGCTGCCACAAGGATGAGCAGAGGCTGTGCACAGAAATGGTTGCTATGTTCAGCTTCCCTTTGCTCCCATGGAGCTGGATTTGTCTAGGCTGAGTTGTCCCTGCCTGTTTGGTACCTGCTGGCCCTCTGCACAGTCAGCCAGGGCACTGGTGGCTGGGATTCACACACAGGGGGTACTGAAAATGGGGGTACTGTGCCTTGCCTGTGGGACAGCACAGTGGGGTGACGAGGAAACAGCACGCTTCTAAAACATAGACAACTAACACAAACTCTCCTGATCACTGGGGACCCAGCAGTGTATTCCATCACCCCTCCAGAACCTGTGCCCTGTGCCCAGCAGCTTCCCTCCAACCTCAATCACCTGATAGCCCCATGTACCACCCTGCTAACAGGGCACTTTTGGCTAATCTAGATCCTTTCATGCTTCTTCAGTTGCATTGAAGAGGGATGAAGCCTGAGCTCATGTGGCTGGGAAGAAGGGAAGTAGCACAGAGCCAAGCCCTGCATCGGCTTCCCTAGGTGGAGGGGATGGCTCAGAAATGAAGCGTTCCTCCTCCCTACTGGGTATGTCTGAAATAGCCAGGCTTGTCAGATCCCTGTCTCTGGCCATGATGGATTAGCCTCTCCAAGGCACAAGGCAATTTATTCATTAGTGACATTTACACCTTGTGGCTGCATTAGCCATTGTGGTTGATACTCAAGCTGTCACTGCTGGGCTTGGAGGCGACATTGCTGCTCCAACAATGCAGCGAGACATGGCTTGGGCACCTCAGCTCAGGAACACCTCCTGCCTTTCTCCTCAGCCAGAGCAAGCAGAGATTGCATCGAAAGCCCACTCTGTTCCTGAGCTTCTCTATCAAATGCCCTGCTTCATCTCCCCCAACCCTCCCTGCCTTGCAGCACCGTTGCTCCAGCACCACATCCTCCTGCCCCATTTTGCTGTCTGTCTCCTGTAAAAACCAACACCTTTGCAAAGCCTTTTACAGATGTTCTCAAGCAGCTCTCTTTCTCCCATGTCTCGCTGAGCATTCACATCCTACTCTGCCCTCTGTCAGCTGCCCTCAGCCCCAGCATTGAAGCACAGAGCCCATGTTTGGAGACTTCTCCAGAAGATATGCTGCTTTCACCATGATGCTGTCCCCTGCTCTCTCACTGCCACAACAGCTGATCTGCTTCTCCTCTCCTCCCTGGTCTGGACACCAGGACCACCAAAACTTCAAGGCCTTCTAACTTAGTTGCAAAATTCTCTGGGAAAGCACCAAGTGATGCCAGCATGTGCAGCGGTTGCTGTGCAGCAAGCAAGCAGTGGGCAAGCCAGGGCAGGGAGCACTGCTGAAGGCTGTGCAAAGGCAGGGTATGGGGAGGTGTAGCCACCAGCATGCCTCTGGTCATCATGCACCTGGCAAGGCATTTCATGGCACCCAGCAGGGAGGGGACCAAAATGATGGGAATGCACAGCCTCAGAGGAGCTCAGGGGGAGTGTTTTGGCTAGCTCAGAGGAATGACAGTTTGCACATTGGGTTTGGGGAGAGTGAGAAGAGCTGGAAAGCATCATCCAGGGAGCAGATCCGGCAGCTCTCCAGTTTCAGATGGCCACCAAGGATCGGCTTGTTCTCAAACACAGCGTGCTCCATGCTTTTATCGCTGCTCCCTGCCACTCTCTGCAGCAAATGTGACACTTCACACCATCTCCTCACAGAAACCAGGTCAGGAGTTTCCTCTCATGAAAAACAAACAATGCCCTGTCACCCTGAAAAGCCCTTGCTGCAAGGGTGGATGGGTGTCACCACACCAATGCTGCAAACATATCAACCCTCTGCAGGGCCAGAGATCCCAGCTGTGCACAAGCATGCAGAACCCCACCATGCCACGTCTGGGTGGATAGCTATGTCATGCCTCTAGGGGCAGAGAAAGATTTTAAACTCTGGCCTCCCTTCCTGATCAACCCACTCCGCTGCAAAGCCACAGGGTCACTATCCTGATTTGCCCTGGGCATTTCTTCTCCACCAGCACGGCACATCACTAACAGAGATGGAAGGAGTGGAGAGTTTAAACCCACATCATCACCAAAAAAATATATATTTTTAAAGCAAGGAACAGCAATGTGAAACACTTCTCACAGTTGTTATGGCCTTCTTGTAGCATTTCAGTTTGAAAAAGCTGTTGGGTTCCCAAAGTGAAATTGTGAAATCCTGTTATTCTGGGCTCTAGTTGTCACCCCTGTTTCCCCAGTCAGCTGAGCAGTGCTGCTCCAGCAGACACACTACTGCTCTCGCTCCCCTCTGCTCAGCCCCTGAGGACAGGCTGTTCCTGGGGGGCAGGTGCAGCACACACAGAGCCCACCAGCTTCTGCCTTGGCCGAGCAGGAGGTGATGCCTGCTTTCAGCTGCTCCTCCCTCTGCATCTGCTTCTGGAAATGTGCATAGACTCAGGCTTGGGATCTGCCAAATTTTCACCCTGACCGGTTCATGGGCTGCCATCCAAAGTCTGAATTCATGTCATGGCAGCTGATGGCGCTGCTAATGGACGTTGGGACCATGGGACTGATACAAAGTACTGTGTCATCTCACCATGTTCTAGGTAGGCTTTTTCTTTCACTAATGTGAGTAGCTAAGATTGCAGAAGCAGCTTGTGCTGATGGAGAGTGAAAGAACCTCATGTGTCTGTGTGTGAAGTTATTTTGTTCTACAAAATCCACTAAATTATAATCACAGTAGGTGATCCATCCATTCACAGAGTTCGAAAGACTGGGGAGGGTTCAGGATGGGCACCGATTTCTCACAAGCTTCATTTCCCCCAAATGAATTTTACAAAAACCAAACAAATGAACGAACAAACAAAATGGCCCAACAAAAAGAGTCTTCCTGGGGAATGGGGGAGGAATAAAACCCACTTAGCTTTCCAGCAGCTGCTGTGCTTATTTCTCAGTGCTGGATGGCCATGCTGCACATTGTAATGGGCTCCTGAAAATCTGGCAGCTTCTGGAAGAGTTGCATAGGTGGATGATATACCTGTTAGTAGAGCCTGTTCACAAGCTGCAGGAAGAGGAGCTTGTTGAACTCCACAGGGAAACTGTCCCTCCCCCAAGACAGACATGAGGTAAGGAGGGAAGGAGGAAGGGCAGGCCACGAGGCCATGGGTCTTGCAGGTTCAGTTCTGTCCTTGGGACCTCTTTTACCTCAGAGGTGGAAAGGCTATTGTTCCGTGGGAGAAAGCTCCTCTCCCAGTGCTGTGGAGGTGCTGTGGAGGTCAATTTGCTTGTTAGCTTGCTTTTGAGGGAGTTGACGATATCACATCCATGGGCATAATGTTCCCCTTGGCAGAGCAGCTGTGAGGCAGTAGAGCAGAACAATTCAACCCACTGCTTGCAAAAACTACAGATATTCAACATTCATTCATGTTGGCCAAGTCCCAACACAAAATCTATGCATCAAAGGAACACTGTGACAGATCAATTTTTCTGGACTCGGGGACAGACCGCTCTGAGGAGCTGCTAAGCTAACCTCACATTAGTATAGTACCACTGGCTTCAGTAAAATTACATTAGGAATGAACATAGCCCATTAATTTCTACCTGAGGGGTGACTATGACCCCTTTCCACTTTTTCCAGAATGCCCACAGGGAAACCAGCCCTAGGCAGGCTCAGCCCCAAGTCCCCACTGGGGTCCCAGGTCCTATGAACCAGCCTTTGGTCCCCATACTTACCTGGCTCAGTGGAGAGCGTAGGCCCAAGTGCATCACAGGAAGCAGCAGCACCAGATAGAGATATCACTTAAACTACGTTTCATTTCTGACATTACCTGGATCCAGATCCTATTCCTACAGACTTTATTCTAACCACTGAATATGAATGAAACACGGTCAGAAGGACATATCCCAACTTGAGACTTACAGCACTTTGGTAACATAACGTCTTGGTTGTGGTGCAGCACTTCAGAGCCAGCCCCTACAGCAACTGCAGCAGAGTAGGAGCACACTGCAGCAAAGTCTGTACCCTGCTAAAGGCAGCACCTTGGTGACATTAGACAGCAGTACTGAAGCTGTGGTTGGAAAGGCTGGAAGGAGAGCTTAAAAGGCATAACTCATCCCACCTGCTAATCAGCTGTTTTACTGGCATCTGATGCTACCTAATTTTCTTAAACTTCCACTTAATAAATCTTTTCCTGCAGTTCTTACCCCATGGGCATCCATCAGTTATTAAACAACTCCGCAGCCTCCTGAGTGAAGGGACAACAAAGAGGGCAGGGACCAGCTGGATTTTTAATGTGCATTTTACAGGGAGCAGAAAGGAAAGGGCGGGGCATTTGTTTGACAACAGATGAACATCAGCTTCCCCAGCATTAATAGTGTGTATTTGGCTGGAAGGCCTGGCCTTGGCCATAGGCTCAGATTTCCTCTCACCATCCTAAAGAAGACCCCTACAGCTGCTCACCCTGACAGCCCTCTCTGAAACCTCCCTCCTTGGTGTGGAGTGAGACATGACACACAGAGGGCTCAAAGAAGTACCACATCCACTGGTTCTCCACAAGCAAGGTGCTGGGCACTATGTGGGAAGCTTCCACTGTGTCAAAGATAGATAAACGGGTGCTGATGTGTCTTGATGATCAGGTAATCCAGAGACTCTCACACACTTCTTCTCTCTCTCTCCTTTTTTCTCTAGTTCAGAAAAGCTGGAGAGCTTTTAAGTACTTGACAAGTATATTGACAACAACTAGAAAACACTAAATAGCCCAAACTAATTCTCCAGCCTTGCAGCAGTAAGGACTCGCCCTCTTCTGGGTTGCATTAGCACCATGAAGGGCCACAAAGAAGAGCTGGTAGCATTCCCGTCTCTCTCCTTCTGGTATATGAGGAAAGTCTGCTACTAAATGCAATCCTGAGCCTGACTCTCAGCCCAATGCAATGTTTAAATGATGTATGGAAAAAAAATGAAGCCATCTGACTGCAGAGATCCTCCTAATTGCTGTCCCTATCATACTGACAACCACCCAGCTCTGACCTTCCCAGAGGGTGATGTGTGCTGTCCTGCTTTCCTTGTGTAAGTGGCCAGCAGCTCTGTGAGCTCCACTTACTTCGAAGAGATCTTCTGCACCAGAAATAAGGACATGGCCACTCTGAGAGACCAAGGCACTGCTTGCACCTTTGGCCCTTTGTCCGGGCCAAGCTCAGAGCAGGAGTGAAAACTCCTACACCACCACTCAAGCCACGGTCTGGCAAGCGAGATCAAGACTCTGGACTTGGTGAAGAGAAGGGTACAGATAACAAGCCTACGTGTGTCAGCAAGTGTGGGTCTCAGATTCAGTCAAAGAGAGAAACTGAGAGTTTCTAGCCAGGCAAAAAGCCTGGGAAAGAGCTGGATAAGAATGTAAATAATTCTTTATCTCTCTTGTTTTTCACATTGTTTATAGTTAAGTTCTATCTCAAGTCTCAAGAGGAGCAGGCACCTGACTGCTGCACAGCCCAGAGCTGTGGTGGGTGATGGGTATGTGCCAGGACACAGGACCACCCCACCATGGAGAGGCCATGTGCCAGAACAGGGACAGGCCATCTCTGGGTACCTCTGCTCGCAACCTGAGCCATAAGGAGAATCACAGCACTGCCCTTGGCCCAGGGCACTGCGTTCTCTCACCAACGCGTAGGAGGAAACCCCCATTGCTGGTAGCGTCCCATGCCAGCAGTAGTGCCAGGAGATGGAAGAGAGAGCCCAGTTTTCTGCTCTGAACTTTCCTGCCTGACTAGACACGCCAGGATAAACCCTAGTTTCAGTTTCTACTCTTCAGCTCCACCACTTCTCTGTCAAGCCACGAGACAGCTCCTGTCCCTGCTGCCCAGTCCTGCTCCCCTACCATGTCCAAGTACACCAGCCCCCTTTCCTGAGCGTGAGGCATGTCTCCACCCTTGAGAGAATGGAACAGGATGGACCAGGGGGGCAGCTCTACCAGGTGCACTTGGGTAGCAGGGCCAAGAATATGAGGGATGGGATCGCTGAGAAATCCTGGCATGCAGTGGGGAACACTGACTACAGAGGTCCCACTTCTCAGGGTACTGTGGGTCTGGACCAGCCACAGACTGTAGCACTGGGACTATAGCTGGAACCTGGCTGCAGCTGACACCATGTACATGGGGAAGGTGTTCAGCAATAGGAAGACTGTATGGATCCTGTAGATCAGAACAGCAGCCATACCTCAAAGATCCATGTGTCCATGTGGACAGACCACCTCCAGAACAAGATTTCACAGGTGAAAATGGGGCCAGAGGAACAATGCCAGGCACTCTCATGGAAAATCCCAGAAAGAGCCAAGGACATGGTGCCTGAAACTCTGCTGCAGGTGCTAAAAGCTGGGGGGCATAGAGACCCTGCTAATCTGTCCCTGTTGTGAAGACTGTCTTTGCCCCAGGGAGCTAAAAGGCCTGCCAAAACTTAGATAAATCCATCTGTCCAAGGCACCTTGGAGGCTGGAGATAGAAAGATGAGCCATTACAGCCTAATTTAAGCAACTGCAGATTTCAAAGAGAACATGTCAGGAAGAACAAGCAGGGACCTCATTCCTCACTAATGACCATTGCAGCTCCACTGTCTCAATTCACTGGGACATACAAGCACACACCATTATCTCCCTGGAGTCAGGAGGACACTCCACAGCGGCCTTGGCTTACATTAGGCCCTCAGAGAGAGAAGCAGGAGTTCACAGCAAGCCAAATGTCATTACTAAGCAAGGAAATACCAGGGCTGCTGTTGCCCAGTCTGAATCTATGCCAAAAATAATGAGAACAAAATGCAGAGAGGGATGTGCAGAGACCTTATGCTTCTCTGTCCTCCAAGGGACCCTCGTCTTTAAGCCAACATCTAGCTCTGGTAGTGAAAGTAAGGGCAGATGCTAATACAGATTCATAAACAGAGTGAGATTTTGAGAGACTTCCTGTTCAAATCACTGTTGTTTGTAGCTTAGCACCCGAGATTGAGGACAAGCTGACTCAAAGGACAAGAGACACTAACCAAGATATGCAGGGCACAAAGAGCAGAACAGACTGCTCTGGGGGAAATGAAAAGTGGAGCCCTACAACGCCTGTAGGTGCTGACCACTCCAAGCTTGCCAGCAGGACATGACTTTCAAAATAGGACCAGTGTGGTATATGGGTGCATTTGCAGCCTCCTCGAGACCTGGGAGGCAAAGCAGTACAGCAACATGATGAGAGAGACAGACCCCTCATTACTAGCTGGCAGGAGAAGATGCCTGGAATAAATACAGTGCCTCACTGTTTGCCCTTCTATGACAGATGGGGAGGCAGACACCAAGCACAAATGCCCAGGTGCCATTGAACTTGCCCTTGTCATCCAAGATGTGCTGCTCTTAGCTTTCATTCTCCACAGCTGATGAGGGAAGCAGGGTGAAGCTGAGGAGTTGTGCTGTCTGGAGAAATGGCTGGCTGATTTGGCATGCACTCCCCAAAGAGCTGACTGAAAAGGAGACAGCTTTTCTGAGAACAAGGACACAAGAGATCTGGGGATGTGTTTCTGAAGGAGGAAAAACTGGGTGTCTGCATGCTGCAAACACTGTTGCAGCTTCAGTGGCATGAAGCCTCTTTGCCCAATGTCACTGAGATTTGGTGACATTTCCAACAGGGTAGAAAGGGCAGCACAAAGCTCAGAGCAACCTACCCTGACAAGAGCAAGGCAGAAGAACCCAGTAGCTAATGAGCTACGCAGAAGTCACCACGCTTCTGACAGCCTGACACCTCCCTGCAAAAACCTCTGTCATGCAAAACATTTCATTTTAATCAGGTTTTCCTCTAACATATCCCCAGCCTCTGTTCTGCAGAGCATCCCTCTTGGCAGTGCCTCCTGCACGGGTCCTGCACCTATAGTGGGGTCCCACAGAAACTGAATCCTTTTGATCCTCCTTTCCCCAGCCAAAGTTCCCAATGCTCCAGCATGCTTTTGCATTTGTCTCTCCTACCCCCACAGAGCTCTCTGCCAAAATGAGGCTTCCAGGAGCCTGCAGCTCAGAGTCCACAGTCAGAGCCCAGCTGGATCTCATGCAAAATTCACTTATGCAGACATGCACCAACCTGCTGCTCTATTATCAATAGGTGAACTGCAGCTGAACCTACCAGAGCCTTGATGCTTGACTGAACTAATTAAGACTCACTTCAAAGCCAGGTAGGGTCCCCAGCCACTTGATGTGCCACCTGATACCATGATGTCTGTTCCAGTGCCATCCTCTTCCCCTTCCCCAGCTCACCAGGGGCCTCCCGTTTTCTCTTTCCAGCTGAGCCCTCCTCCAGCAAGCATATCAGTAGCACTGCAGATCTCTGCTCCATGTGGATTTGCACATTCACCCCTTCCCTGGTGCTGAATGCCCAAACAAAAAACCCTTTAACAAGCTGACTCACAGCTGGCACACTGAAACCTCCTAAGGAGCTGAGCACGGGATTCTCCGGAGGCAATACCATTCCCAGCAGTGAGAAAAAAGTAACAGTCGGAGCATGGTCTAAAAAAAAGTGGGGAGGGTGGAGAATGGTCAGGGGGGGAAGGGGAAGAGGTGAATTTGTGGCTTTCAGCCTTTGCTCTAACCTGCCATTTAGCTCCATGTGCCTGGGTACCCATGACCTTCTGTCACAGGCAGCGACACCCTGCTCCAAGGGGCCTCCTCCACCCTGTCTCCTTCACCCTGTGAGTGGTCTTGCTTCAGTGTGGCAAGCAGGGTGGGCAGAGGTGCAGCAGGGTGCTTTTTGGTGGCTGCTGGTTCCTTGGAGCACGAGATAGCCTGGAGCCAGGGCTGGGAGCCAAAGCCACCCCCTCCCTGCATCAGACCTGTCATTTTATTTCCCCATTTGGGTCTTGATACCATGAATTATGGTTTTGCAGTTGGTTTGGTTGAAGTTTTTTTTTTTTTTTTTTTTTTGCATGTGGTGATCGGTCTAGTGTTCTGTGCCATGTCAGGGGGAGCACCAGCATCCACCCCTCTGGGAGGTCAGAGCCACAGTGGGGGAAGCTTTTGCTGGCTGCCAGAGCAGGATGCCACGATTACTCCATCCTGATGTCCTCCTAGGCTATCCCCCTTGTGCTCCTCTCCCCAAATCCTGGGCTGGCTTGGGCCAGGCAATGGACAATGAGATCTCACCGCCTTCTGCTTTCACAGTGAGGTCTCCACGCAGGACCCATTGCGATGGAGGTGACGGTGGTCGTGGTTCAGGCAGCCTTCGTTGCGGTGTACAATGAGGACAGGGAAGTAGAGAGCATCCTGATAAGGAGGGGGGTCCTCCTCCTCCACAGTCACCTGGCTGGAGAGGCGTGTCTGCTCAGTGGGGCAGCTCTGCTCGTTCAGGCTGCCACTCCGGCTCTGCCAGAGGCAGCTGCGGCGCGAGCCATACAAGCGGCCCAGGGAGAAGCGGCTGCTGCTGAAGGGAATCCTGGGACTGCCATTGCAGATGCTCAGAGCACTGCGGGAGAAGATGGAGGAGCTGCTTATAGTCCTGTGGCACCGCTCGCAGTTCTGCCGGTAGCCCCCGTAGCGGCACGCAGAGTAGCTGGTGCAGCCGGAGAGCCCCACCAAGTCCATCAGGACCGCTTCCGAGTAGCTGGGCACCAGCTGCTGGTTGGATCGTATGTGCCACTCCAGCTCGGTGCTGTCCACCGTGTTGACACGGGGCATCCTCCGGCAGAAGGAGCGCTCCTCGGCCGGCGTCACTGCCACGTAATCAAATCCAAAGAGTTTTTCCACGTGGTAATGGACATAGGAGGTGCGGTACTCATTTAGCACCCGCAGGGGCCAGGATAGGGTCAGCAGAGCTGCCACCCAGAAGACATAGTGAGATACATACCAAGGCAGGTTGTCTGGGTCAGAAAAGGCCACCATGTATTCCTTGAAGTCCACATTTTTGAGGTGCATCCCCTCCCTGGCCTCCATGTAATCGTCTAGGCCCTCGTTCTCCGTGAAGAAGCGGGCTCGCTGGGTCAGATAGGAGTTCTCGGACTCCACGTTGGCAAAACTGAAACACTTTGTGAAGCGGAGCCGTGTGGCTGGGTAGCTCTCCAGGTCGATGAGGTCCTTGGAGATATCCTTAACTCCACAATTGGAATAATCAAACTCGGCCTCTGCCACATGGGTGTTGACCCGCTCATGGTACACTTGGGTGGTGGTGTAGGCGTCCCCGTTGCGATAGCGGGTAACCTGCCGGGTCCTGCGGACGTAGTGGTAGCTGATGGCCTTCCACCAGATGCAGGGGGTCGCCTGCTGCATCCGCTGCACACGCTCGTGCACGCTCTCCACGTCCACTTTGTACTGCAGCTCGTTGCGCGTGTAGCAGTGCCAGCACTCCACCAGGTACACCACGTAGAGCATCACCAGGAAAGCCAAGGGGATGTAGACGTAGCCGTTGGAACAGGGGCTGTCATGGTACATCATGGACTTGCCCTTGTAAGCGCTGTCAAAGGTCAGCCGGGTCACCTTGGTGACGTGGCACCAGGTCATGGCTCCCATGCAGCCGTACATGAGGAGGGACAGCAGCAGGCATTTCCAGTGGGACTCTCGGCACAGGGACTTGCTGAGAGACTGCTTCACTGGCCGCTGCTGCTCCGGGGGACCGGGGAGAAGGAGAGAGAAAACAAGAGAGGAGTCAGTAGGCTGCAGTGGCAGGGGAAGGGGTGCAGGCGGCAGGGTGCTGTGGTAGCACCTATAGCTCTGTGAACAGAGACCAAACAGCAGATGCTGTGGGGCTCCTGGCCTCAGCGGGCAGGGCAGACACTGGGGTCTCTCACAGGATGACAGTCATGCAGTGCAGGCACTATGACCCCTATCTCCATTTCTGGTGCTCTGCCCCTCCCCGGGAGACAGACAGAGCCCAGCTGGACAGGGCAGAGAGTGGCCAAGGACAACTGTGTCAGCTGCACCCTGAGCATCTCCCTTCTCCAATGGGGAGTAAACCCTACCATTGCCACTTCCCAGGAAGAGCTATTGGGAGCACACGATAACAGTCTGGGTGATCTCCTCCACATTCCTCAGCTTTTGCACACACCCCACTAGCAGCTCTAACTGATGTCATCCCACCAGAACCCCTCACCACAGCTCATCCCACTGCACACAAGTCTCCCCCCACTACCCAGTAATGACCAACAGCAACATTCCAATTTTTCCACCAGGGCGGCACAAGCTGCTGGTGTGCCTATAAGATGGAGAAACAGACCTTCTGCAGCTGGGAAGGTCTGTGTTTGGTAATGACAATTCCCATTACAACACTTGGCAGCCTAAGGAATTCTGAAATGCTTCTCAAGTGCTTTATAAACCATACCAATGAGAAAGTACTTTTCCACGATTGAAATGGAGCCACCTCTGGTAGGAAAGAAAGCAAATATGGAGTAACATCCTAAAAAGTATTCCGGCTGGAAGGGAGGAGCATCCTACCAATCTGCAGCAGCAAGGAGGGTAAGAGGCCACTCATAGCTGCTGGCAAATGTGCCTGCTCGCACTGAGATTCAGCTGTGACAGTCCACACTTCTGAAAAAACTGCTCTCAGGTCTTTCATGATAAGGAAAAGGCAGAGCTTCAGCAACATGACTTTTAAAGGGATTGCACTGGTGCCTTTACCACAGTACAGTGCAGGGTTTCACACAAATCCATGAAAAAAAACTTGGTTAAGGAAACCTATGTCACTGCAACACTCTGAAGTCTCAAGTATTGATCCACTGTCTGTGAGATCTGACATCATCCTACCCAAAGAAAGAACAAAGTAACTATTTGCTTTCTTATATAGAAGATTTCATCCAGCTATCTCCAAAGGTGCAACCTGAGAGAGGGAGGTCAAGAACACCAGCCTTGTGCAGATGACACCAAATTCACTCAGAGGCTTCAAGTTTTGCTCTCCCTCTGCACCTGCAGGCAGCAGCAGCTCCTGAGCTCACCTCTGCCATGGCAGGGGCCAACACCAGCTGTAATGACACTGTTCACAGCACTGCAGTCCATGCCTCGCTCCATTACTCTCCACTCCTGAACATGCTGTGCTGGAGAGGTCTCTCATCCAGGAATCCCAAACAACTGCATGGGCTCACACTGCTAGAAAGCAGGAGGGGCACTTTCACTCTGGCATGAAAAGGAAAATTAAAGCAAGCACCAGAAATCACAAGGCCACTGGCAGGTCTAGGGACAGACCTGTGCCTCTTCTTTCCTCTGAGAAATGCATCTTGCTCTTCTGAAGAGCCCCTCATTCCTGGCTTCTTGCTTGAGAGTCCCACAGGCCAATCCTTCCTCCCCACCCTTGTCAAAGCCTGCCAGTGGGACTTTCTGACATTGCACTCAGGGATCCTGCCCAAATCTCCAGCAGAAGTTTCTCTCCTAGAGGCATGCAGCTCCCCTGCCTGCCCACCCCACCAGCCAGCCCATAATGAGCAGAGCAGGATGCATGTCCAGAGAAACCACAGTTGGCAAGGGGAATAGTGGCACATCCCACTGGCAGTCCCAGCTATCAGCAATGCTGAGCTCCTCTCTTTGAAGACACGAGCTGAGAGCAGGACCTGGAGACAGAGCCCAGGGCTGGTAGGTGGGATGATGCTGGACTGCAGGCAGCTCAGAGAAGCGCAGGGTGGCACTGCTGGCAGTGCCATGGACACATTTGCAGCCCAGTCCTCCCAGTGCAACTGACCACTGCAGCAGTCACGGGACAAGAAGGCAACCCCAGGTAAGAAAAAAGGAAGTGAGGAGAAGAATAGGGACCCTTTCAGGTCTCAGAGCCACCTGAGCTCTCCCTCCTGAGGTCAATGCTGCAGTTACAAGAGCCTGCTCAGACCCCTCTGTCTTTGCTTGGCTGCAGCACGGCTCTCCCGTGCTGGAATACTGTACCACTACCCAGGCAGCTAGAGGCTTCCTCTCTCACTGCTGCCTTCTGCCTTGCAGCTTTCCCTGGGGTGAGGAACTCTGAGGACCTAAAGGAGCTGCTCAGCCAAAGGAGCATGGGGAGGGTCTGAACAGGGCCCTTGGAGTGGTACATGACAAACCTGGGGTGTCTGTGGGGTGTGAATGCTGAGAAACAGTACCTTGTTTAGGAGGCAGAAATGCAAACAGAGCACAAGGAATAAAGCAAAGCATCCAGCTCATTCATTTGCCAGCTGGGGAAGGGGCACCAGAATGACAGGTCTTTGGACACATCTGTCTCAGAAAAGCAAATTCCACCTCAGTCAGTCCCCAGCCCTTCACACTGCACTGCCTGTGTCGCAGGAGACGGGAGATGCTGGCTGTCACCCTGCAGAGATGTAGGCAAGCCCCACTGCGGGTACCCAAGCAGGGCAGGGAGCACGATGCAGCCCAGGCTTGGTTCCAAGAACTGTGTTAGCAGGGCTCTAGTCCATGCATTAGTCTCCTCCTAGGACTACGCAGTATTGAGATACTGCGGCGCTTTTATGGGGTCACACTAACCCCTGCTGTAAACTGTTTACAACCCAGCTTTGTCCTAGGCTTTTGAGGTAAAACACATACACCTCAGCTGCACTGGCGGGGTTTCCAAAAGCCGATCAAGTGCCAATGACAGGATGCAACCACAGCAGAGACAGAGGAGGAGCCAGATGCAGAGTCTAATTCCAGTAGGAACTGCAGCATCCCTGCTCCTCTCCCAGGCTGCAAAGGGCTCACAGGAGCAAACAATCACCTCCACAGATTCCTCCGCAGAAGCAGCTGAATAAGATTGTCTCCTTAAGCTCTTAACCAGCCTTGAATAAGTCCAGCATAGCAAACAAGCAGATAAAAAAGCTGGGGAAAGAGAAATGTGTCTCAGAACAGTGTCACTAGGAGGAGAGCAGGCACTGATATAAATGCTATCGTCATCGGCCCGCTGCAGTCTGAGGGAATGAGGCAAAAGACTTGCCCTACTTCACTGCAAACAAGGTTTCCCTCCATCACCAGGAGCCTCCCTCACTGCTCAGGCTCCAGCACTGGAGACTGGTAAGCAAATCTGCTATTGCAGGTGCACTGAAACATCTCTGCAGTGCTAGGGGGCAAGGCTGGCCATAGCTTAGCTGAATCTGTTGTGGGATCCCAACCAGCTCCCTTCTCTGTGCTTCATTTCACTTTGTGGAATGCATGGGGTAACCCTTAGCAGGCGCTGACTGAGACACACCTCGGGAAAGGCAAGGGGTAGGCTGCTGCCTGGGCCTCCCCTCCCAGCTGCATGGCACTGGCCTCTGACACTGCCCCTGAAGTGAACAGAGATGGAGGCCCACGCTTGCAGTTGCCGCTCGGGATGCATGGGGAGGGATGAAGGGGATGGAAGGGATGACTCACAACAAGACGTGAAGCAAAAGCAGACACCCACAAAGCACAGGGCAGAGGGAGTAGAAGAGGGGACCCCCATCACTGTTTGCACTAAGCTCCTTTGAGGTCTAGGGGATCCTCTTAAAAAAAACAGCCTCAAGGGGACAAACATGCCCAGCACCTCAGTGGCCAAGCACAGGGGGCAAAATCCCTTTAATCACCCCTGCAACCTTGACCCTGCAACCTTGACCCTGCAACAAGAACTAAAACCCTTCAAGTTCTTCAAGCTACTCCCAGTAACAGCCTGGCCCCAGCCCCATCCCACTGTCCCCTTTTTTAACAAGTGTTTCCATGTCATTACCTCCCATGCCTCTCACCTGCCTCTCTCTGCAGATATCTCTGTGAAATCTCTGATTCACCTCCAGAATGCTAAACCTTCATATTTCAAATCGGCCTGGGGTTGAGAGGGTTAGGTGTCCTCTAGAGACAGCCCTCTAGAGGGCTGAACAAACAATCCAAAAAAGCCCCAGAGCAGCAGCCTGAAGGCCCAGGTAGCTCCCGACTGCCAGGTGGTGGCAGCAGCTTGCAGGGGACTCCAGAGGGACTCCTGAGCATCAGTTTCCATGGCTCTTCCCCAGGATTCACTTACATCATGCAAGAAATTAATAAGCCTTGATTCCTTTGACCTCAAATCCCCAGAAAAAAAAGGAGGTAGGGAGGATCCAGTCATTTCCAGGAATTACTGAAGGCTCTGGACAAACACTGGCAACTCCTGGCCAGGATGGTCCCAGTAAATATCCACATCACACACCCCATGCCTACAGCCCAGGTTCAGGAACTACCTGCCTACAAGAAAGAGGTGGCTCAGTCCCAGGCTGGCAGTGTTGCCAGCTGCAGAGGACATTGGAAGGCTGAGCATTGACAAGCCAGGGAATCCTGCCGGCAGTCAGCTCCCGCAGCAGTACCAAGGTCTCCATTTTACACAGGAACTTGGAGGAGGATTGGTTCCTTCCATCAGATCCCACCTGAGCAGCAGGACAAGGACATGTTTTTGCTTCTTCCCAGGCTGAAGAGCTTGTCCCTTGGCTTCTCCTACCCTCCAAGTATGTATTGATGACTGAAATTCAGTTCGCCACCACTAAGATGAGACACCTTCAAACAGGACACAGCAAGTTTCCCATTTTCCAGACATCTCCTCTGGCTTCCCACTCACTCTGGCCAATAGACCCTGACATGTGGGACTGAGCCACACTGCAGGGACACTCGGCAATGCTGGCACCAGCAGTTGGTTCTGATGGAAATGAGGACATTGCACAGCCATATGGCATTACATAGGCACTAGAGGGGAGGAGGAACATTCTCCCCTCCTGATAGTTCTGAAGACAAGAAGATTGCACTAGGTCAGTCCATGAATCCAAGCTCATCACTAAAGTCTCACCTCATTGCATCAGATGAGACACCAGCAAGCATGGCACCATCATGAGAGGCTGCAGCTTCCCTCTCCTCCATCACCTGCTTCATGCAAGTCTGTGATAGATAGGTTCTGGCCACAAGAAGCATGACCTTAGCCTAAACAGAGCAGGTTATGGAATACAGCCTTTTTGCCTGCTCCCATGGAGTATTATACTGACACCCTTGTTGGCAGCCACCACAGAGTAACTGAAGCCTGGACAATCTTATAATCCCTGCGAACCAGGGGTCGCTGTAGGTGAGGGAAACTCATCTGGGCACTGCCCCTGGCATCTCTGAAAAGTGTGCCGTCTTGAAAGTAGAAGCAGCACTGCCAGAGCACCAGCAGTAAGAGACCACACCACAGGGTACAAGCACGTCCTCATGCTAAAAAAGTGCCTCACAGTTTAGCTACCCTCATCAAGATCTGTTTGAAGAATTGGGCTCAGATCATCAGGAGTTGTTGAATGCAGGCAGGAAGAGAGGGACACAGAGTAAACAGCATTTGTATAACTTCCCAGTCCTTGGACTTCAGCATTCCTCTCCTGCAATTATTTATATCTAAATATAAGTCTGTATATATAGAATAACCGTGCATGGGCATGCATGTTCTGCCCAAGCCAAGGAGGCAGAGAATACCAGGATTATGCAGTACTCACAAACTGCAGCTCCTCATCAGCAGAAGGGGAAGTGATGCAGCTTCTGAGTATCCCCCCCAGGCTGCCCTTTGAGCTGTGGTCTCACCAGACAGGGCAGCCCACCACAGCAGGAGTATGTTGCCCTTCCTACACTACCTAGTTGCCCTCCGTGGCTCAGTAGCTACATGGCACAAAGTGAGTCTCACCAGTCAGTGCAGTTGCCTTCTCTCTTCTTGGGAAGCCCAAGCTGCAAGCAGGATCTGTAGAGGCAGACAAAAGGGCTGGCACTCCTGCCTCTCATCGGTGCTCCCAAGGCACAGGGCACCCTGCTCTTGACCCTTTCTGGCATCTGCTGCCTGGACTCCAGAAAAGTCATCTGCTGAGGGAGACTGCAGCACACCTGGAGGCAAGGCTGTGCTGGTACCTGGCCTGCCCCAGTCTGCACCTTTCGCTTCTCTAGCTGGGACCAGACACCAGCAACAGCCCCTGGCTTTGCCATGTCCCCGAGCCCTCTTCTACCCTGCTGCCCACTGCGTCTTGCCTCACAGTGACCCAGGCAGCTGTGTCACATCCTGGATGCCCTCAGAAGCCAGCGCACAGCAAGGAGGGAGGTCTCCACATCCACTTCTCCCAGGCATAACAAGCTCTGCTCGCGGCAGTAAGCCCAAACGGTGCCCCGCGCTTCTCGTTTGTGATTTTTTCCCTTCCTCCTCCATCCCGGCCACGCCAGCTCCGGCCCCCGCTCCGGACGGCGCTGGCTGCAGCTTCTCTTGCAGCCCTGGAAGCTCCGCAGCGATCCCCAAGTGACTGGCGAGCGATGGAGAGGAGGTGCGCTGGGGCAGCCCATCAGCGGCGCGGACCGACGGCTGGGTATCCTCGGCCCCCAGCCCCCAACCCCCCCCGCCCCGCCGGCCCGCATCGCATCCCCGGGGCCGGAGGGGGGCGAGAGGGGCTCCCAGCCAGCGGGTCCCTACCTGTGCGGGCAAAGCCCGGCCCAGCCCGCGGCTGGGCGGTCAGCGAACGCGCCATGCAAAGCGGGCGGGGAGGGAGGGTGCTAGGGGGCAGCCCCGGGCCGGGGGCGGCCGCTCTCCTCACCTCCTCTCTGGCCCCCTCCGCCTCCTCCTCCGGAGGCACCGGCGTGCTGCTGCCTCCCTCGCTGGCGGCGGCCGCCGAGGCCGGGGGGGACATGGCGGCGGGGGCGCCCCGCTGGCGGTGCCTGCGAGCCGGGCAGCTGCATTATCCCGCCCGCCGCCGGGCGCTGCCTCGCCGGGCGCCGGGCGGGCGGCGGGGCGGCGCGGCGGGCGGGCGGCGCGGCGGCATCGCCCCCAGCCGCGGCTCGGCGGCAGCGCTGGCCGCCCGCCGGCCCGGCCCCGGCCCCGCCGCAGCGCAGCGCCGCTACACGCGGCGGAGGGCGGGCAGAGCCGCGGTGGGAGGGCCGCGGCGGAGGCGGGGGGAACGGCACGGGGACGGGACGGGACGGGATGGGGATGGGGGCACAGCGGGATCCGCGGCCGCCCGAGCGGAACGGTGGATGACCTTGAGGCGCCGGCCGGCAGCAGAGAGGGAGGGAGCCCGGTGCAGAAGCCCCTCCCGAGCCCCCACCAGGAGCGGAGCTGCCGCCCGGCGCTGCCGGGGAAAGCTCCTGCTCTCAGCCGCGCCGAGGGGTCGTCAGGCTGGCTTCGGTCCCAGCTGGACAGCTGATGGAGAGGTGAGGGGTCCCGTGGGTTTTCCTTCCCTCGGGATGAAGCGGGAGAACCGGGAGCACTTCGCATGTGCCCCGTCTGCTTTTCTAATCTGTGGGCACCCCAGCTGGTCGGGGGAAGTGGGGCAGTGGTGACCGTCAGTGCTGATGCTGACACTCACGGAAATCCTTAGGCTGGGCAGGATCTTCCCTATTGTGATCTGCACCGGGCCCAAAGATTCTCACCTAGCTATTGCAGAGCCAACTGCAGCTTATTTCTCAGCAGAGAAATGCTTGATTACGGGGATGAATGGAAAAGCATCTTCAGACCCTCAACCTAAACTGACAGGGGATCACACATAGAGTCTGGGAAGGGTCTGTACTTGTCGAGGTCTGGATATTGCAGGTGCAGCCCAGCTTCCCTGATAGTCAGGAAATCAGGTGTCTCTGTAGGTGCTTCCCCAGATCTGTGCTGGGGAGAAGCATAAGCTACAGAATTTGCTGGAAAGTTCTCTTTTTCTGAGCTCTGAGGCTCAGTCTTGGCTATGGGATGATTGGCATACCCTTGTCCACTGTTGCCTGGGACGAGGAAGGAACAGCGTGTAGGCCTGATGGTCTCACTCAAGGAGATGCATCCAAGGGGAATTGCCAACCCCTGCTTCTTATGGGAATAGATGTGATGACTGGGGGTGCTGCTAAAGGAGCTCATCTTCAAAAGAGGCTGGGGATGTGTTTCCTCTTGCCTTTCCCCTGTTTCCATGGGAACAGCAGCAAACAGGAGCAGCCTGCTTGGAATTTTGCTGCCTACTGCTCAGACACCCCCTGCCCAGTCATCCTCGCAGACTTTGGCTCTTGAGAGTTTCAGACCCACCCTCATATGATGGATCCCATGTCTCCAAGGAAAACTCACACATGGATGTGTGTCATGGCAGAACAAGGCAAAGAAAAACAAGCCCAGAGCTGCCACAATTCCTGTAGCAGCATGTTATTCCATGCACACTAATAGACAGTTGAAAATAATTTGCATTCCTATATGCATTTCTGCTTTTTATAGAATGTGACATCAGCTAGACTAAAAAGTGCCTGTGGGATTGCCCTCCAGGAACAGCACTTGTTTTATCTGAAAAATGTGAATATCATACAAAAAGAGCAAAGCAGAAGGGTGAATAGGGGGGAAAGGTGGTACGAGTTTATGTCTTTGCATTTAATAGCCCATGGTGTCTTTTTCTCTAAGGAATTTGTCCGTTTACTTTTGCATTTGTTTTGATTTTGGACTTGTAGGTGTTTCATGCATTCTGTGACAAGGAGTTTCACAGCACACGCACAGACTCAAGGAGCTTCCTTTGATGTGCCCATTCTGGGCTTTTTATCCACTAGGACCAGCCCTTGGGAAGCAGGCTGCTGCCACCCTTATGGAGCTACCCTCAGTGCAATTTATCCTCCACTGGTGGAGCCAGTGGCTACTGGTGAGCCAGAGGTAGAGTTTTTTGTGTCAGGCATCCTTGATACTGGTCCTGGCAGCATATCTTGGAGACAACACGGTCAAGCACATCAACAGCTGTGCTATTTTTGAGATGAGGTGGCACAAAAGAGGTTATGTGCCCTGCTTTGTCTGAACTGAAGTTGTATATGTTCTCAGTCACTTCCTGAGGAAAACAGGCATGTGGCAGATTTCAACCCTTGGGCAGGTACCCAAAGGCATGGCTGATAATGTGTAACAAAGGACTCCCAGGAATGGGAGAAATAAGACTATATATGATGCTTAGGCCTTTCAGAAACTAAAGCAGGATGGACAGCACCCAAGTTTGTGTTCTGTGTCATCATCAGAAGGAGGACCCAGAAGTTGTAATTACAATACACTGCCTGATCCACTCAATCCTTCTTTTCTTGGGGGCAAGAGACAAAAATTTGTGAGATTTCCCCCCAGTTTCTCCTGTAGGTTTCAGGATGCTCTAGTGGAAAATCATGTTGGAGAGCAGGGTATTTCTGGGATGGATGCCTTTCTGATGTGACAAAATGGAGGGAGGCTTTTAAGACACAGCAACTGAAGTAGAGGTGGTGCCCTTACCAATAGGTTTGTTCTCCAGAAACTCTGTACCTGCCACCCTGCAGAGACATTCATGTCTGTTCCAAGCAAGCATAAAGCATGACATCATATTAGCAGGATTCGTTCACTTTCCATAATGCACCAAACCACAAAAGGTCTCACTCTTCTGTCTCCAGTAGTTACAGAAAATTGCCTTTTAGTTCCTGCTTAAATATGTTATTAGTTCCTACCCATGAAGCAAATTTGCTTTCAATTTCTAAAAAATATTTGATGGAGGCTGCATTTTAAACCAGATGGCCATAGATAACCTATCCTTGTGCTGGGACTTGTAGCCTAAATAGAAAAATGGATTTTACAGCATCATATATATATATATATATCATTTTGTTTAGCTTTATTTTTTTCATTAGACCAAGTGTGATCAAGACTCAGTCTTTTGTTCCAAAGCAATCAGTGATTCCTAGCGTTGTGCTGCTTTTTGTCTCTTAAGAAGATGCGTGGCAGAGAATCCCCTCATGTTAGGATGCAGGATTTTCTATGCTCAGAAATTAATGCCTATTCAATTTAGAAATTTCAAGAATACTTTGTACTGGCTGCCTGAGCCTTCCAGAATGTGTCACTCCAATTAAATTACTCCTTATTAATGCAACAAGGGGAGTGTGGGTGAAGGAATGCGCCTCTTGCTCCAGCTAAACAACATCCCTTTGCCACTGCTGTTGACTGTCTGGGTGCCATCTACCTCTGCAAGCTTTGTCCTCAAGGAAATATGTGCCATTAGTTGTGTTCTCCTCTGCTGCACTCAGACTTCATGTCTCCTGGGAGGAGATTCAGGTGTGCTTTTTTTATTGTGGGAAGGAAACCCCCAGGTGACTGGGGAGCTCATTTCTGTTTAGCATCGCTAACAGGGGTACACATCACGACTGCAGTCCCCAAACACACAAAATCTTGAACCTCACAAAGTAGGTGGGTTTGTAGCTGCTGCTCTGGGGCACATTTCACTGAATAGAATTGCTGTCATTGAAAAGTCTTTGATCCCCGTTCTGATCCATTCTTTTCCAACAGGCTGCCTGTATACAGTTCGGTTTGTTTTCCATCCAGCCTCATGAGAGTCTATTTTGTCATCATCACAGCTTTTGTGAGGCTCCACAGAGGTTTCTGGGTCAGGTTAAATCACTTTCCTCTCTGCAGTAGCACAACAGGATACCCAGGGCCCTCCCTCACATCGCCCCTAGAAATGAAAAGCAGATTCAGCACTGCCCAGATGCTGTTTGACAGTCCTCAGGACATTTTGTCCGATATAACTCCAGAGCAGTGGCAACTGCCTCAAGTGCCTGGAAACTGAGCCAAATCCTTCCCTGACAAATGCTTTGTTCTCACTTAAATTTTTGGCCCATCACCCCCAGAAAGGAATAAACCACAGAAACTAATGTCTCAGGGAATTTAGTCTATCTCTAGTTACACTCCCAAGAGTCACCTCCCTAAAAGCAGAAAACAGGTTTCTGTTGCAGTTTGCCTTCCCCACACTGTGGGGTAGGAGTTGATATACCCTGACCTGAAGAAGCATCCCTGTCCCAACAAGCTCTCCCCATGGACCTGGCTGGCAGGGAAGTTGCTGTTCTAGGGAAGGGGGCTAAAACTCACTGCATGCTTAGGAGTCATTGTATAGGCCAGGTCTGTCAGTGTGGCCAAAGTCCTGGGGAATGGCTGCAATCCTACTTTCTGTGTGCCCCATCACCTGCGCAACACAAACTTGGTCATGACTTAGTTCGTGGTGTCAGAACTGCTCTGTCCAATGGGATGGCCACCTGGTCCTGCTCAGCACCCGAATATTTCAAACAGCTCACTCACCCTCACCTCCCCTCCCTTCCACCCTGCTCACCTCTCTCTCCCAGCCCCTGCCTGGGCTCCTCACATGTCTTCAATAGTATGGCTCCCCACCAGGCCAGTTCCCAACTCACTCTGATGCAAGTGTGGAGAGACACAAGCCCTAATTCAGTCTGGCAGCCGGGAGGTTTAACTCTCCTGAAAGCAGAGCCGAGCTTGCATGAGTAATACCTAGCCACTCAGAGCACTGCTGGGAGACAAGGACTGGGCTAGTGGGGGTGCAAGGCTGCAGAAAGCAGTTCAAGCAGAATCAACTTAAAAATGAAAGTTAACCCATCCTCACTTCTACCAGCCATCAGGTCCAGTGTGGCAATGCTGAAGCCCAGGAGCAGCACTGGAAGCATCTGTCCTGTGCTCTCTGGCAAGGTGAGCTGAGGCATGCCTGGGTGGGTTGAGGTTTTTGTTTTGTCTTGGGAAGTCTCTGCCAGATGAACTGTACTTAGAGAGCCATGAATAAATTACAGCCCAGCAATGGAGCACTGTCTTCCACAGCTATTCCATGGGGAGGGAGGAGCATTCTTCATTAGAGATGTGGCTAGACAGAGGTTATCAGAGCCACCCTCTGAAGTGAGTCTGTCTCATCACTAGCTATAAAGAGAGCCCCAGGTGACAAGATTTCTCACCTAGGGCACAGATTCACCATCTATTTAAGCATGGTTTTGTTATCAGTTTTCCAAGACCATCTGCCACTCCCTCCCCATTCATAATCACATCTGCCATCTCCCTTGGGAGAGCTCTGAGCACACACACACACACACACACACACACATAAATACATAGCAAGGGCTATCAGCCATGCATTTGCCCAGATGCAAGCAGAGAGCATTGCTGCAGCAGCCACCAGGCTGGAATTACACGAGGGATATAATTTAGAATGAAGTTTTGTTAAAATATCTAGGGGTTTTGTGCACTCACTTTGTAAGGTTGAGGATTTTTTGTGCATCTTTATACCGATCACTTTTTGTTTGCGGAAGTGAATGCCGTGGCCAAGAGTGGAGTGAGTTAGGTGTGATCCCCATTCAAGGGATTAACTAATCCTCTTGTCCAATTTCCTATACATCATACACACTGTGAACAACAGAAGGAGATAGAAATTTCCCTGTTCACTGGGACTCTGAGCAACAATGGGAGTCTTCTCAGGAAGGGTGTTAGTTGGGCAGCTTGCTGACCACCTACATGTAGACAAACCTGATCTGCTCCAGGTTGTGTCACCACAATGGCACGATGGCTACCATACATTCCAGGAGTGCACAATGGAAGTATGAGAGGCATCCAACACAGACTACAAAGAGAAAAATTCTGGCTGGAAATAATCCCATATTGGAAAAGCAAGCAGATGCCCAGAGCAGCATCCCTGGAGCAATTCAGTGACCCTGTGACTTCAGCCAGACTTACCAGGAGAGGGCAGCCAGTGCTTTCTGGGCTGACTACCCCAGAAAATGGGTAGTTGAGCAGGACCTGCTTTTAATTGCTCTGTTGGAAAGCTTGGCCTTGCTTCTGGGCATAGCATCTCAAAAAGTCATGTTCCTCCTTTCCTTTATTGGAGCAGAAAGTGAAGTGACCCAGTTTGGTGCACTACAGAACTGATTTGGTGTCAGATATGTGAAACCACAGTCAGAGCAGAGAGTCTGTTGTTTTCCTGCAACTTTCATTACTCTTCCGGGGCTTCTGCTTCCCTTGAATGCCCAGCTCACAGGCTGAGCTCTCTGAACTGGAGCTGGAGCTCCAGACAGCTGTCCAGGTTGTTGTTTGGGGTGCCCAGCAGCATCTCTGGTGAGGAGAATGCAGAAGGGGCTTCCTCAAATGGGGATCTGGCACCTTTCTTATGGACTCGGCATTTCTGATTTCTGGGGATGAAGGAAAAGGGCTGCATTCCCAGGGAATGGGGCAGATCAGTGCTCCTATGGGATGAAACTGGACAGTCTGCATAGGGGGAAGGTAGCACCAGTCACACTGCCTGGTATGAATTATTGTGGCAATAACTGCTTATCACAATTTCAGGTGACCAATATTTCTTACAAATAACAGGACCTCAGCTGGTAATTAAAAGACCATTATATTTTCTCAGAACAGACATAGACTGGGTATAATTTCCGTGGGTATAATTTTCCTTTCTCCATCTCTCTCAGCTGCTTTTCACTTATTTTACCCAGTTAACAGCTCAGAGAAGATGCTGGCGCCAGGCCAGGCCTTCGTTTAATTTAGTCAGTCAGAAGGCTGTGCTTGGGGACAGGACATTATCAGGGACAATGCCCAGGAGTCTGGGTAGCTTAGGGGTTCCTCCCCATGCCCATACTCTTACCTGATGCACCTCGCAGTGCAGTATGGTGGGAAAGCGCTGGTGCCTTGAACAGCGTGTGCTGACACTGACCTCTGGTGGGAATAGATCCTTTTCTCTTTAGATTTTCCCTGCAATTTAAACCATTTTAAGTGATACATATTAAAGGGAACTGGAGAGACCCAAGAACAAGAGCTTCGTTTTTTAAAATCTTCAAAACTAAATCAGAACATCAAGATTTGCCTCATATTTAATTATTTTTAATCCCTCTACCATTGTATTCAATACATTATAGATAGATATTTATGCATATGTATATCTCTCTGTATTTAAAGCCTCTGAAAATTATGGAAGTCAAAAACTTGCACAGCCAGGCAGAAAAGCTCTCTCTTAGGAAGACAGCATGAAAGGGAGCCCAAGCCTTGCAGAATGAGTAACAGAAGGCAAATAACGGGGCAAAGCGGCCAAGTTCCTCTTTCAGACTTTCCAGTAAAATTGTCTGAAAGGTTAATAGAAGCACACCCAGTCAGACGAGGGGTGGCAGGAGATGGTGCCTGAGCTGGGTGTTAGTGGGTGTAGTTGAAAGGTCAGAGCAGAGAGTGGCTGGCCATGGATGCCTGGGGGTGCATAGCTGATGTCAATGGGGCATGCCTGGTCTCCCCACTCAGCTGCAGTAGACCACAGCAACACAGCCCTGGCACAGCACTAGCCAGCTATAATATTTCAAGGCTCACCATAAGGAAGCTGCAAGATCACAAACTCCAGATAAATTCCCATCAGCAGCAGAGGAAGGCCACTTCCAGGGGCTACTTGCTAACCAGAAGTGTAGATAGATTGGACTGTAGAGTCCCTGGTGGTGGGTCTTGAATTGCCTTTTTGGTAGAACTGGTTCAGGGCTTACTACTCCAGGTTCTGTGCTTTGGCTGAACTGTTCCTGGACATGTGCTAGTCATGGAATCAGGATCCACACCTATTTCCCAACTGGAACAGCACATTGCAATATAATCAAGGCGTTACTAATGCCTGATGAAAAGATAAGCTGAAACTAGTTCACAGAAAAATTAAATCTTTGTGTATCACCACACAAGTTTGTGTTGATTTGACCACTTTATCCATAGGAAAGTGCACAAGGAACCATTCCACGATGGAGCTGCACCTAGTATGTTACCAGAGAAAATGGTAAAGACATTCAGGAAGGCAATTGGTGGATAACCTAGTAGTAGTTGGGTATGGAAAGCTGAAAGCTAAAATTTCTATTAATTCTGTGTGCGGATCAGGAACAACAGCTGCAGGTGGAGCTGGGATGCAGCCACCACCAGGGTGTGAGAGGGAGTGACATTGATATATGGCCCAGATCCCCATACCGCACTGGATGGAGCTGACATATGTCGGAGAAGCTCCTTTTCCTCAGTAATTGTAATCTTGCAGTAACATAGTGCCAGAGACACAACTGGAGACATTGAAATAGATCCTGAGCATGGGAAGAAAACTTGTGACTGGAAGTCATTGATGCCAAAAGAGACTTATCTGTCTCCGTGCTGCTGCCCTCACACCCCAAAACCTTTCTTCCTACAAACCCAAAGCAACAGCTGCAGTGTGGGATAGGGAACTATTTGTTGCTTTGCATGTGGTTCCTGTGAGTCCATCCAGTATCCATCACCAAGCTCTTCCCAGGTAAGCTTCCTTGCAGGAGATTGTTCCCCTCCTGCTCAGATGAACTGGAAGAATGGGCATCCTGCAGAGACAGAAAGTCATCTTGAACAATAAAAGCAAAAAGTGAAACTGATTTTAAAGCGTCAGCTGTGTTCAGAGCTATCTAGTTTGTCTTTTGAGGAAAGCCCACTGCTTGGGACACTGGAAAGTAATTACATGACATCTATGCAGATCCATAGGAGTTCTGGCATTGGGAAGAGAGCACTGAAATGCAGTCTGGTCAATCATTCACAGGCAGTGAGCTGGGCCTTCATTCGATCTTCTATTTTCAGCTTTGATCTCTAGATCTTAGCTTTTCTTGTGTGAGCCCTGGTAGCCACTCGGGGCTTTGAAAGGATTTCTATTTTCGACACAGAAAGGTGGTGAGAAGTAGCTGGACCAAGAGGCTTGTGCAGCCAGCTACAGTGACCTCCTGGCTTTCCCTGTAAAGGCAGAAGAGATGAGAAGGTGTCTTAGTGAGTGGAACAGTTTAATGTATACATACGGGAAAAGCAAACGCCTTGTTTGCACCTCTGCTACAAGTGACATCCACCACATTGTTTCCCACGGCGCCTGTGGCTTCACTCAGCACCCGCACACGCAACAGCATCCTCACCCACACAGCACCTGCTTGGACAAGGTCCCGCTCCCTCCCCGGCAGAGTTTCCTGCTATCTAAGGAAACCAAACCAAGTGGGCAGGGGGTGGGCAGGCCCAGGACAGACAGACAGACTGCCCGGCCTAGGGAAGTGCAGCGTTGCCGCCTCCCTGCCCTGCGCACCCCAGATACCGGCCCCCGCCCACGGCGCCGCGGCCACCGCGCTTCCTCCCTCCCTCTCGCTGCTGGTGCGCTCCGCAGACAAAGAGGGCGGGGAAAGGCAGCCCTTGGTGGTGCCGGGGCGGGGCGGGGGAATCCCGGGTAGGCGGGCCGGGCGCGGCTGAGTCAGTGTGGGCAGGGGCCGGAGGAGGCGGCGGAGGCGGAGCCCTGGCGCCTTAGATTGTGCGCCGGGCGCCGCTGGGTGATTTTCCGGCCATGAGCCCCCCGGCGGCGGGGCCGAGAGCGGGACCCGGGCCGGGGCCGGCGGACGGCGGGCGCTGAGCCATGTCGCGGGCGGCGGGCGGCGAGTGCCGCGAGGAAGTGGCGGGCTGGGAGGGCGAGGACGGGCAGTGCGACTCGGGCATCGAGTCGCTGCGCTCGCTGCCGGGCGGCAAGGAGACCCCCGCCGCGCCCGAGAGCCCCCCTGCCGCCCCCGAGGAGACCCTCGCCGAGGCCGCCGCCGCCGAGGAGCGGCTGGATTCTAGCTATGGCTCCGGCGCCCTGCCCGAGGCTCTGCCCGGGCTGCCGGGGGCTCCGGGGGGCCGCCCCGAGGAGCCGCCGCCGCGGCCCGAGGAGCTCAGTCGGCAGCAGCTGGCCCTCACCTACCTTTCGGAGGACGGAGACACGTGAGTGACCCCGGGCAGCTGCGAGCGATTGCCCCCCCAGCCCCGGGCTGCTCCCCTTGCAGCGGCGGGGAGCCGGTGCCGAGAGATAAGCCAGGCTGTGTTTGCCGTGGTCTCCAGCCCTCTCCCGAGGAGCATCCCCTCAGCCGTGTTGTTAAGGTCTCCCGGGCCCCTGTCCTAAGAGCCTCCCGCCTTGCCTTGGTGTGCGTGGATGCTTGGCATTCCGGTTTGGGTGGATGACCCCCCTCACCCGCCTGAGGTATCTGAGCCACCCTGAGAGGTATCTGAGCCAGGTCCAGCTGAGTGAGCAGGAAGAGAGGCACCCCAGGCTGCATGGTACAGAACGGACCCACCATGGGAAGCCCACCTCCACTTGCCGTGGGGCTGCTAATAGCTAGAAGAAAGGGGAGAGCAATTCAGGCCTCTCCCACTGTCTCTTCCCCAGAGAATGCAACGTTTCCTCCACAATGGGGAAGGCTTGGCTGCGTGAGATGGCACGTAAGCAAGTCCTGAAACAAGATTAGCCGTGCAGGGCAAGACTTTGCGATGGCTGTGTTAGGCGCTGCTCTACCGAGCAACCCAAGAACTATTTGTTCTCAGGTGGGAATCGCCTTGCTTTGCCAACTTGCCCGCAGAGCCATGGCTTTTGGCAGAGTTGTGACGCACACCCCGATGTGTGGCTGCCCTCCTGAGCTTCTGTGACAGAGACAAGTGTTTCTCTTAACAAGGAGGGCTTCCCACATTCGTAATGCCCTCTCAAGGGCAGAGGCATCATGATAGAGTTATTTGGTTTGGCTTCTGGTAATTACCTTCAGGTAATCACAGCATTTTTTTCCTGTTGCCTCGATGGAAGGTTTTCATCATGAGTGTGCATGCAGAGCGTGAGTGAAGTGTTCTCACAGCTGAGGGCAAAGCTTTGCCCCAAAACCGGGCTAGAGTTTAATGCTGAGAAGTGGTGCAGGAGGAAGAGAAACTTAGAGGCACTGACATGATCAAGTAAATGTCTTCGATAGTGAGAGCAGCAAGAAAGCTCTGTCCTTGCCTGGCAGAGCACATCTGGATTGAAGCTGAAGATGAGCTGGGAGACAGTCTGTGTTTACTTCCCTGTTAGGAAGGAATCTCTGCATCTGCTACTTAGTTCATTAATGCTGACTCTGGGATCTGTTCTGAGGATTGGCTGGAAGTCTCATGGCAAGCAAAGTTACACTAAACCCAGCCTCCCACATTCCCCAGGCAGGCTTTCTAGTCCTGACCTATCTACAGGCTGGTTCTGTGGCTCCTCAGAATGGAGGAGTTCTGCCAGTTTTCCCAGCTCTAACGCCAGAGCCAAGGTGCCCATGGAGAGAGCCAGGTGTCTTTTAATCAGAGCTGTGGAAGTAATGCTTCCCCCCATGTTTGTCTGTCATGGTGTGCCCGGGGCTTCTCACTTACTGTTTTATTAGTGAGCCCCATAGATATGCAGCTGCTTAGAGAGGCTTTTAGTGCTTGAGGCTGTCTTGTTTGGTGTTTGAAGCCCTTTGTCTGTCAGACTTGCTTGGAGAGACCTAATGCAAACATCTTATTAACTAGGAAAACATTAATCAGTGGTGCCTTGGTTACTGTAGGCAGGAGAGGCTCTCAGAGGTTGCTTTTGCTCTTCTGTCTTCTCTCACTCCCAGTGCATTTCAGAACAGGAAATCTGTTAAGACGGAGGTCTGCTGGTTGTGCAGCTCTGGGCTCACCATGGAGGCAGGCTTTCCTGGGATCTACTCCTACTGCTGGGAAAAAAAAAAAAAACTGTTCTTGTGGTTAGAGTGGTGAGGCTGAGGATTTGTGCCTCTGCTATTCTTCTCTCTCCTCCTGACCCTGCGGCAGAGGTAGGTGGCATTTATATTTAGAAGTGCTGAACATCCACCACTCAGGTCGATGCAGATGGGGACTGTGAGCACCCAGAAACTCATTGAACTGCCACCGGTTTTGTATGTGAAGACAAGTCAGGGCTGATAGTAATGCTGAAGTCTATGGTGCAATTGCTCATCCAGTGACAGAAGGTCCCCAGAGAGAAGGGATCAGATGGCCACAGGCTACATCCCTTTCATCTGGCCAGACAAACCCATCTTCATTTCCTCTTTTCATCTCTGTCAGCAATGTATTTCCTTGTGTGCCTTTTTTAAATGTCTGCCACAAAACAGCTCCAGGCAGAGAATTAAAATCATTATCATTATATTTCAGAAGACTTGGGCAACTACACTTTCCTGTAATTGTAATTTTGAAAATGCAAAAAGTTCAGGGGTTTTGCCTAAGTAGTTCCTGTTTGCCTAGATGCCCTGGCTGGTACTGAGCTGAGAGGAGCACTGGGCTTACACAAAGGGAACTTGCAAAAGGCTCTACATCTGACAGAAATCTTCACTGTCCATAGCTGACTCAGGCTCACCCACCTGTGCCATCTCAAGGTATGTCTGTGTTTGTCAGCCTGGCACTTGAGGGGTAAAAACAGGAGGTGGAGGCAGAGGTGGAGGAAGAGCACGTGCTTGGGCAGTTGAAGTGTCAGCAGGATCCTCCTTGGATTCTTCCCTGCCTGCCTCCAAAGGAGATGAGCATCAGAGCAAGGCAGGATGAAGCAATGGGTCTAAAACTGTCTCTCCCTGTGCCCAAAGTTAGAAGGAGTCTCACTTTGGCAGGAAGGAAGTTGGCTAACAGGAAGGATGGGGGTATAATAGCCAGTGAAATGTGTGGGTGCTGTCTTCCAATAATTATTTGCCCAAATGTCATCCTCTGCATGGCTCCCAAGTGCCACTGGCAGCCCCTCTACCTCAGGGAAGTCAGAGCCACAGAAATAAGGCACATTAGTCCCCAGGAGAGTGTGGCTCAGCTGTGAGGGCAGGAGAAATCAAGCATGAGGAGTGGTGTGGCAAGCGGAAGATGGTGCGTGCACTTTGGGCAGTGATCTGTATCCTGCTTTTTGTGTCGACAGGTAGAGAACAAACCCTGTGCACTCAAGTTCAAATGGTCTCCTCCAAGAATCCATATTTTCCTTGTGACCTAAAACTCCAAATATCTGTCTCTTCCATGTAAACTAACGCCTTTTCTGCTGATTTGGGTCCTGATGGGACTGCTCTGTGGTGGAAGTGAAGAGAGGGGCTTTCCAGCTGTGGGCCTGGCTGCCACTGAGCGGGCTGCAGGCAGATTTATTGTTGTGCCCCAGCCTCCAGACCACCTCAACCTTTGTGAGGATTCATTGAGGAAACCCCATCCTTCCCAACTTCACCTGGCAGATGCACAGTTCCACCATCCTGGGAAAAGGATGAGTATGGGACCAGCTCCTTTGAGGCGAAATGGGGTGTGAAGGGATCACCTGGTTTTGTCCCAGCACAAGAGAAAACCTCTCCATTTCCTTGGGCTGATGTCAGCCTCTGCCGACTCTGGAGTGGCAGAGTTGATTCATGAGTGTGTGACGTTAAGCAGAGTTTCCTCTCTCTAGGACTGTATAGTCTATGTTAAACTGAAAAGCATGTTTTCCTTCCTAGCCATGCTGGTCCTTGGGCCACATGCCACTTTCTGCCATTGTGCCTGATGTCGTGGTGATGCAGAGGCTGGGGGCTGCACCTCTGCAGGAGAGTGACTGTCTTCTGCATGGGGCTCTGTATGCAAAGCAGTGCAGCACCTCTGCAGGGGTGAAGGTCGAGGCACCCCAGCTTAATCACAGAAGGAAGACCTAGGCCTTCTTCAGATGGAAAATGGGACTTTGTGGTTTTGGTTGGGTGTGTGTTTCAGGGAGGGAGGGGAGCAGAGGAAGCCTGACTTCCTCCTTCCACCAGAGACAAGTGGTGCCCCATCTGCTGATAAGAAATCACGTGCCAGTGACTCGTAGGCTGAAATGCCTTAACAAGGGCTTGGGGACAGCTAATCGAGTAAAATCAGGGCCCCATGGGAGCTGATGTTCTGAACTCTTCACATGATGGTAGTGGAGGGGCCTCTCTTGCCTGCACAGGTTGTTGCTGAGCATGAGGCTCATCTTCAAGGGGCCAAGAGCCACTTCTAACCATTCATTGGCATGTGCTAATCGTAACCCTCTCCAGTCATGTGGTCTTGGGCTGAAGATCTTCCCTGAGCAGGGGAATAGAGGTTGACCCCATTCAGGTTGTCTACTCCAGTTTGGCTGCTTTCCCCTGCTGGACAAGGGTGTTGCTGAACCCCTGTGCATCTGGGGGAATGCTCAGAGTGTGACAGCAAAGATAAAAGAAAGGGAAGAAAGGAAAAAGAAACAGAGGACTGGAGAGACTCAGTTTTAGGAGAAGGATTAAAGAAGTCAGATGCAGGGTTGCTGGTCAGGCTGGGAGTCCCCCTGCTTTGCTGGGCTGGGCTGTTGCCAGCTGCCCAGCAGTGGGATGGCCATAGTTAATGGGAAGTGGGGATGCTCTTGGTTTTACTAGAGGGTCTTCAGAAACCTTGCTTAATTGCCAGGATTCAAGTCCATCCCAAGTTATTCCCTAGCATGCTGCCAATTGTGGGGCATTAGAGAAAGTGAGTCCTAACCTGGGTCTGCCAGGAGGGAGATTTTCCTGTGTCCAGCTCCCTGTCCCTGAACTCCCAGCTCTTGCTGTGTGTGTGCTCAGGAGTTTGGTAAACAGGAGAGCTTGATGTCCCTCTAAGCAAGGCCAGGCAGCTCTGCACAAGTTGCTTTGGAATGCTGCAGAAGTTTCTGGCTGCTGCAGGGGTCACACACATATAGCCTTGGCATAAAGTGGGTAAGTCCTGGCAGCCTTCTGAGATCATGCATGCAAGAGGTTTTATTCCATGTTTGGATGACTTCAGCCTGGCCTGGAGGAAGTTTCTTCAAACTTTCCACCTCCCTAGGTTTGCCTCAGGGCTAGAGACAAACACAGGGAACTTCAGCACAGAGGAAGGGAAAGAATGGCTGGAAATTTCCATGTTTTGGGATGCAGAAGCCTGGCTGTAACAGATCAGCCAAGGTGCAGAGAGCTTCAGGTCCTTGCACTCTGCAGGTGGGCTTGACTGCTGCT